GGGGTGGGGCAGAGATGGCCGTGTTTGCAACTCTTGCTTGTTGGTAGCAGGCTGCCCAGGGTCTTGAGGACTGATCTGCGGTTTGTGGTTTGTTTGCAGTACTGGGGGTGGACCTGGGGGACTTGGTTCGCAGGCATGCCACCTCTTTTTCTGGGGGGGGGGGGGGGGGTCCAGTCATGGGGCCTGAACTCTGGGCCTGGGCGCTGTCCCTCAGCTCTTCAGCTCAAGGCTAGCGCTCTACCACTTGAGCCACAGCGCCACTTCCAGCTTTTTTCTTTCTGCTTATGTGGTGCTGAGGAATCGAACCCAGGGCCTCAGGCATGCGAGGCAAGCGCTCTACCACTGAGCCACCTTCCCAGCCCCAGGCATGCCACCTCTTGAGCCACCAGTTCTTTCGTGTTTCAGTATGGCAGTCTTTCCACAAGAAGGAAGAGAGTGCCCTTGATGCTCTGCTTGGACTAAGACTCTTAGCGTTACTGTTGAGAGCGACATTGGCTGGAAAGTCTCATTCTCGCAGGATAGTGTGGAAGGGCTGAGAGGACGTGGCGGTGTCACGCTCCGCACTGGCCTGTGTGGGAAGCGGTAGGAGCTCTCTGCAGGTTCCCCGCGGGTTTCACTTGGTAAGTAAACCCCCTGCGTGGGCCTTGCTGTGTGCCCTGCCAGCAGAGGCCCGCCGCCTCTAGGCTGAGCACCAGGCTTGGGTGGCGTTAGAATGCCCCGGGTTGAGCAGGGCCAGCCTGACCCTGCACCTCACTCGTCACGTGCTGCGCCCTGAGCTCCTCGGCCCCCAGGTGCTGCGCCCTCCTGGGTTCGTCTGGATCTGGCGACTGACTCGAGGGGCAGGCCCCAGCTGTCCGGCCGACGGACAGAGACCCCGCTCCTCTCATTGTGTGCTGTTCCTCTGTGCCGACGTTTCAAAGAACGTAGGAAGTTTATGTCATCTTTCAAAAATCAGGGACATTTAAAGATACTCGGGGTCTTTCTGGCTGGCTCCAGATCCTTTGCTCTTATTTGTAGTTAGGTTGTCTCAGGGAGACCCAGCTTTTCATATGTCCACTGATAGAGCATTCCCTGCGCGTCAGTCCTTTCTAGTACCAATGTGTTCTCCCAGACCGACACACCGCAAAGTTGGTGCCACCAGAGAAAAGCTGGTGCGGGCAGTACTGCACACAGTCTGTTTATCCCCAGCGGTGGCAGCTTCCACCTTATGTCCATTTCCTGTTTGTTGTCACTTCTATTGGCAGTGCTCCTAGCAAATCCTGTGGACCGGAACATTCTGGTGTCTTTGTAGGCAGTTCTGCCCACCGCCTGGACACATCTGAAGATTCAGCGTTCATTGTGCTGGGCAGCTGCACAGTCTTCTGAAGTCTTAGAGTCCTCCTCCTCCCTCTGCTTCCCTCCAAACCCAGATGTAGCCAATTCTTACACAGCCTAAGTGATGATAGTTGGCCCTTTGATAGGCTGCTTTTTTTCTTAGTGTTTTTGTTTTTGTTAGTCATGGGGCTTGAATTCCCAGCCTGGGTGCTGTCCCTCAGCTCTTCAGCTCAAGGCTAGCACTCTGCCACTTGAGCCACAGCACCACTTCTGGTTTTCTGGTGGTTAATTGTACATAAGAGTCTCACAGACATTCCTGCCCAGGCTGGCTTTGAACCACCATACTCAGATCTCAGCTGCCTGAGAAGCTAGGATTACAGGTGTGAGCCACCAGCGCCTGGCTCTTAGTAATGTTTTAAAATTATTTAACTGAAAGTTGGATTTCTTTTTCTTTTTTTTTTTTTGGGTCCAGTCGTGGGGCCTGAACTCTGGGCCTGGGCACTGTCCCTCAGCTCTTCAGCTCAAGGCTAGCGCTCTACCACTTGAGCCACAGCGCCACTTCCGGCTTTTTTCTTATGTGGTACTGAGGAATCGAGCCCAGGGCCTCGAGCATGCAAGGCAAGTGCTCTACCACTGAGCCACCTTCCCAGCCCCTGGATTTCTTTTTTTTAATGAATTTACTTTATTGTTATTAAAATGATGACATATAGCGGGATTACGCTTACTTGAGTCGGGTAATGAGTACACTTCCTGTTGTACGGTGTCTTCTATTTCCTCATTTTCTCCCAGCACCTTCTTTCTGCCTCCACCATGAACTGAATAGTTCACTTCCATGAATGTCCAGGGAGCTCCACTACTACACTTTCTCACCCTTTCTTCCTCCAGTTCTGTGCCCTCCTCTGCACCCTCCCAAAGCTATAAACATCAATGCACCACAAATAAGGTAAAGAAGACAGAATGATCAAAAACTAAACACTAAAAAAAAGTCTTTTGTTTCCCTATCTTGGAGTTTGTTTCATGAAAGTTGTATTTCTGCTAAGTCAATTCATTACCGCCTGTAATCTGAGCCCAGAGGCTTGTTCTTGTGTGGGCCTGGCCCTGTAGCGTTGTGGGCTGCCGGCCCCTTCCATTGGTTGTCTACATGAGGGCTGACGGCCCTGGCACTGTGCTGGGTGTGTGGGTTTGTGTGCTCTTCTGCGTCCTCAGTGCCCATACTTTGTGCTTCTGCAGGTGTCCGTCCCGCCCGGCGCTCTGGACTGCTGGGTATTTCTGAGCTGTTTGGAGGTGTTGCAGAGGATAGAAGGTTGCTGTGACCGGGCACAGATAGACTCCAACATTGCTCACATGGTGGGACTGTGGAGCTATGCCACGGAAAAGGTACCCACTGCCAGCGTGCAGCGCCTGCTCTGCCTGCTGGCGCCTCCGTGCCAGGGGTCACGCGCTGTGGAAGAAGGCTAGCTCTTTCCATGGCGGCACTCATGACCATGTGTCCGTGAGTGTGGATGCAGCCACAGGGCCGGGCTTCCTTTCCACGCAGCAGGTTGTTCCGCACGCGGCAGGTGCTCGCTCTGTCTGTGCTGAACACATGGCTGTGGGTCAGGATACGGTGGGTCAGGAGGTGTGGCAGGGCCCAGCGTGGGGGGCCTGTGTGGTGCCAGGAGCTGCCTAGAGCTGGGCCCGGGCTGGGGCTCACAGTAGCCTAGGAGCTTGGATTACAGGTGGATGAATATTAACAGGCAGGAGACCAACAACATCAGAGGCACACTGGGACTGGGTAGAACATGTTTGGGTTTGGGACGATCCCATTAAAATGCCCCCAAAAAAGTTTAATAAAATGTCTTTTATTTTTAAGGAAGTAGTCTTATTAGTTTTTAAAAATTTTTATTGTTATAGATGTTATATACAGAGAGGTTACAGTCACAAAGGTCGAGTAAAGAGTACATTTCTTTTCTTTTTTTCTTTTTGGTTGGTTGCGGGGCTTGAACTCAGGGCCTAGGTGCTATCTGAGCTCTTTCGCTCCAGGCTAGCACTCTACCACTTACAGCCACAATGTCACTTCCGGTCTTCTCGCCATTAATTGGAGATTAGTCTCATGGACTTTCCTGCCTGGGCTGGCTTTGAACTGTGATGCTAAGATCTCAGCCTCTTGAGTAGGTAGGATTATAGGAGTGAGCCACCAGCACTTGGCCAAGAGTACATTTCTTTTTGGACAGTGTCACACCTTCCTGGATCTCTCCCAGCTTTTCCCTCCCATTCCCCCCCCCACAAGCTGGATAGTTCATTTTCAACATAGTATCAAGTGAGTACCACTGTTGCATTTGTTCACCCTTTGTCCCTCCATTTCTGTACCCCCTCTAACTCTCCAATACATGTAAATGAACAAACAGAACAAAAAGAAAAAAATGGCAAAAAGAAAAAAAGCCTCTTGTTTTTATTTCCTGGAGTTCATTTTGATAAATATTATGTTGTGCGATCAGATGCACATAGGCATTATGCCTGTGTTCCTCTCCTAAAAGTATCTCCTTTGGTCTCACGGTTTGGGAATGCCTAAAGATTTGTATAATTTGTTATATCCCCATGTATTAAATTTTATTTTATTATTATTGTTTTTTTTTTTTTTTTTTTTGTCTTGAGGCCTGAACTCTGGGCCTGGCACTGTCCCTCAGCTCTTTAGCTCAAGACTAACGCTCTACCACTTGAGTCACAGCACCACTTCTGGCTTTTTCTGCTTACATGGTGCTGAGGAATCAAACCCAGGGCCTCATGTATGCAAGGAAATGAACTCTACCACTGAGCCATCTTCCCAACCCCCTTGATTCACATTTTTTTGGATCCACTCATCTGTTGTAGGCCATCTGGGCTATTTCCACATCTTGGCTATTGTGTAAAGTGCACTTTTATATCCAGATTCTAATCATTTGGTTAAGAAAGCCAAGTTTCTCCTAGAATCTAGCGGGGCTTGAAGTTTTTCTATTAGAATTCATGAATTCTGACTGCTGATTTTTGTAGCTAATGAATTGAAATTGTGGATTTATCTCAACAGCTAAAATCCTTGGGCTATCTCTGTGGACTTGTGTCAGAAAAAGGACCTAACTCAGAGGATCTCAATAGGACAGTTGACCTTTTGGCGGGTTTGGGAGCAGAACGACCTGACACAGGTACTGCTGCTGCTGCTGATGCATGGTGAAGAGCCCCTGTGGGCTGGCCGCCATGCGTGGCTGCTAGTCCGCTGGGGGACGGAGAGAACATCGCGTCTCACCGTTTGAACCCAAGACCGTTTCAGATGCAGATGCGAGCACTTGTAATGTGGGTTTCTGAAGAGTCTGACTCAGAGCTGAGAGAAGTGTCACTAGAAGGGTTCAGACTGTTTCATGCATATATTTCTTGGGAAAGAGCAGACATCCTAACAACGTAGGTTCACTGGCAGGGCTGAGTTGATCATTTCCCCGGAGTCAGATGAGTCGATCGCCCCTCAGTTGGAAGGCAGACGTCAGTGGGTATACCTGTACTTGCTCCAGATGAATAAGGATTCTTGTTTCTTTTCTGTTTAAGCCAACACAGCCCAGAGTCCTTATAAGAAACTCAAGGAAGCATTGTCATCAGTGGAAGCTTTTGAAAAGCACTACTTGGTAAGTGTCCAGCCTCGGGGCACCTCCACCTCCACTGGCTTTGCTTTTCCATGTGGTCTTGGGAATTGGGGTGAGCTGGTACTAAACACCTCCTGCTTGTGAGCCTAGTGGTCGCTCTGCTATCCTAGGGAGCTGTGTATAAACATGGGATAATTGTGTATCAAGTCTTCAGAGTTTCTTGTGGTGGTGCCATAATTAGGCATGAACACAACCTGTGTACTTTAAATTTTGTTCAAAATGACTTTGCCCTTTGAATAGGAGAAATTCTAAGAGAGAGTAATGAATAATTTTCTTTGCATAAAGGAACCATTTGAACTTGGGTAGAGCTATTGTACTTGATTTGAAAAGGGTTCAATTAGACTTCAGAAAGCAGAGCAGGTGGGCGGTGGGAGGGTGGAAGAGGGCTGTCAACTGGGCTCGAGACCTGGGAAGCATTTGAGACTACGCTGTGATGGGGCGTCCCTGCACACAAACAGGAGGAGACGGCGCCAGCCAGTCACGGTACCTCAGACACCAGTCTGTACTGTGTGAGTCCATGAGGATTTCATAGTTATTTATTTATTTATTTTTGGGTCTGGTCGTGGGGCCTGAACTCTGGGCCTGGGCGCTGTCCCTCAGCTCTTCAGCTCAAGGCTAGCGCTCTACCACTTGAGCACAGCGCCACTTCTGGCTTTTTTCTTTTTGCTTATGTGGTGCTGAGGAATCAAACCCAGGGCCTCATGCATGCAAGGCAAGTGCTCTACCACTGAGCCACCTTCCCAGCCCTCATAATTATTTTTTTTTAATTTTTAATTTTTGTTGGTCGTGGGGCCTGAACTCTGGGTCTGGGCGCTGTCCCTCAGCTCTTCAGCTCAAGGGATAGTGCTCTACCACTTGAGCCACAGCGCCACTTCCAGCTTTTTCTGCTTATGTGGTGTTGAGGAACCGAACCCAGGGCCTCATGCATGCGAGGCAAGCACTCTACCACTGAGCCACCTTCCCAGCCCAAGGATTTCATTATTGTGCTTCTGGACATATATAAAAGTTACCAACTTCGTATAACACATATTACGTATTACTTTAAAACTTAGTGTAGAAGTAGATATCATGTAAAAAAAGTTACACGATTGATGACATCATTTGCTTCCGCTTTTGATTAGTGAATGCAAGATTCAGGTACATAATTCTGCTTTTGTAAAACCTGTCCTCAGGACCTGTCCCATACCACCATCGAGATGCACACGAGTGTCGGGAGACTCCGCTCCGCCAAGCTCGTCGGGAAGGACCTGGCGGAATTTTACATGTAATGCATCTTCTTGAATTTGAAGCATTTCACAAGTACAGTGAGAAGTTTATGTGTGGAGCTAGTGTAAAGTCTACATGAATCTGTGGATTTGAAAATGTAGAGTCTATGCTAAATTGTTTTGCTTTTTACTTCTGAAAACCAAATGGAGAGCCTTTTTTACTTGTTGCCCTTAGCACAGCATTGAGGGCCCTGCTACTTTGAAGTACTTTTGTTTAATTAAGTTTGTCTAATTTTCAACACACACACACACACACACGACACCCGTCTCAGCAGGACGGTCAGTCTCAAGGCCAGCGGCGTGAGCCACGTACCTTGGGCATGGGCACAGGGATGGTCTGAGGGAGACCACAGAGCCTCCTCTCCAGCTTTGGTGTTGATTCCCCAGAGGAGATGCCCAGTTGAGCCTGTTTCTATCAGTGTGATGGAATCAGCCGGTTGTGGAGAAGACCTGGCCGGCAGAGTCACTGCTGCTCACCATCCTGACAAGAGATGCGTTACAGAGGGGAAGATCGCTGTTCATGTTTCCCCAAAATAATGCATAGTTGAAGTGAGGTCTTGAAATCATTCTTTAGTAAGCTTGCAGTAGATGACACGGAAAGAGTATAATCTATCTGAACTGACGAGGTTGCTGGACAGGGGTCTGCTGGGCTGAGTAAAGCCCCAGCAGTGAGAGCAGCTGAAGCCCATCGCAGCTGGGTCACTGCGGGCTCAGGTCTAGCATCGGACTCTGGTGTCTGGAGTGAGGCCCCAGACGATGCTGTGGAAGTCACACCTTCCCGTCCTGTACAGGGAGTTCATGTGTTGCTAGGTTAGTCCTTTGTGGCTCTCTGTGTCCCTGTGTACTTCCTGTGCAAAATGCGTACAGGTGTGAGGAGTGTGACGCCATGCCTCTGCTCGCTGTGTGTTGCGGCTGGCACTTCTCCCTGAGGTGGCTGTGCTGTATCCTCTGTCCACGGGAAGGAGTGAGCTGCTCTCGCTCGCTCAGCTCAGACTCCGTCAGAAAGGTGATAATGCTATGACTCGTGCCATTGTGTTGGCACCACGAGGAGCTGTTTCTCAGATCTCCCCGGCCAGTCCCTTCCATGGCTTCCTCCTGGGACCATGGCAGGAAGGATGGCGTAGAGACGGGCCTGTATCTCTGGTGGCAAGAACTGAGGCACAGTGGGCAGCTGAGGCTGTGTGTGCTGAGGTTCTGAGCCCTAACAAGCTTGTCTGTTGACTCTGGAAGGAGGAAGAAGTCTCCGCAAAAGGCAGAAGTCTATCTTCAGGGAGCTTTGAAAAATTATCTGGCTGAGGGCTGGGTCCTGCCCGTCACGCACACACGGAAGCAACTAGCTGAATGCCAAAAACACCTTGGGCAAATGGAAAAGTATCCTTTAAATCCAGTTTCATGAAATAGGAAAACTCTTTTCTTTAGTATAGCAGCCTTATTCGTGATGAGTAAGCACATAATACTAAAGAGAGAAATACTGTCCCATGCACACCTATTAACAGTAGAATGTGAACGAAATGCCTGGTCAATGTCGTGCCCCCCCCCTCCCCCCCCCGGAGTTGTGGGGCCTGAACTCTGGGCCTGGGCACTTCCCTGAGCTCTTCAGCTCAAGATGAGCGCTCTACCACTTGAGCCGCAGCGCCACTTGTTTATTGGAAATAAAAGCCTCACATTCTTGTACAGGCTGGTGTTGAGCTGTGATCCTCAGATTTCAACCTCCTTAGTTAGTAGCTAGGGTTACAGGTATGAGCCACCAGTGCCTGGCTTCTAATTTTTCTGTGTTTTTTTTTTTTTTCCCCCAGTCCTGGGGCTTGAACTCCAGGCATAGGTGCTGGCTCTGAGCTTCTTTTGCTCAAGGCTAGCACTCTACCATTTGAACCACAGTGCCACTTCTGGCCTTTTCTGGCTCTAATCACTTTTTAATAAAAAGAATACTATTCTCTGGATCACACTTTGAAGACCAGAGAAACCTTCTGAAGCCCTCTACTCCAAGTCTCCTCCATGTGAAGCCCTCCAGGCCCTTAACCGTCCACTCCAGCTACCTGCAGACCAGCAGCCTTCTGGCCAGCGACCACTGCCTGACTGAGGAGGAGCGGAAGTACTTCTGCCAGGAGATACTCAGCTTTGCCAGCCGCCAGGAGGGCAGCCCTGGTAAGACCTGTGTTCCTAGTCTGTCCACAGAGACGTAAGAAGAATAATGTGAGATAGCCCCGCTCCCTGGAGGCAGCAGTTCACCTGCTGTGTGGCAAAAACATGGGATGCGATTTCCCAGACTGCCCTGCGCTCTCACACTGCACATGGAGGGTGTGTCACCACATATGAGGAAGATGCCCAAGGGAACACAGGCAATATCAATTAAGATTACCCTAATTGTCTTTTGTTGGTGGTGGTGGTGGCCGTGGGGCTTGAACTCTGGGCCTGGTTGGTGGTCCCTGAGCTCTTCAGCTCACCTTGAGCCACAGCACCACTTCTGGTTTTCTGGTGGTTAATTAGAGATAAGGGTCTCACAGACTTTCTTTCCCCGGGCTGGCTTTGAACCACAATCCTCAGATCACAGCCTCTTGAGTAGCTAGGATTACGGGCATGAGCCACAGGCACCTGGTGCCTGAGTTGTCTTTAAAATTTCTTCCACACAGTTTATTTTTAGATTTCAACAAGGGCACATATGTTGTTGGTTATTACATCTGATTCTCTTGTAATTTAGAAGAGTTACTTTTGTCTCTTTTTGTTGTTGTTGTTATTGTTCTTGGCCATGGGGCTTGAACTGGAGGCGTGGGTCCTGTCCCTAAGCTCTGTTGCTTAAGGCTAGCATTCTACCACATGAACCATAGAGACACTTCCAGTTTTCTTGTGGTTAACTGGAGATAAGTCTCACAGGCTTTCTCACTGGGCTGGCTTTGCACTGCAATCCTCAGATCTCGGCCTCCTGAGTAGCTAGGATGAGGGGCGTGAGCCATAGATCAGCCTCCTGAGTAGCTAGGATGATGGGCGTGAGCCACCAGTGCCCTTTTGTTAAGGCACTGACTTTTCTCTTTGCTGAGGTAGAATTCACCTGCCGTCTGATAGACCCGTGTGAACTGGCTTTGCTGAGATAGAATTCACGTGCCATCTGTTAGACTCATTTGAACTGGCTCTGAGAACTTTCCTTGAGAATATTAAGTGTATGGGAGAGTGTTAGAATTGTTTTTAGGTGTTTTTTTTTCTTCCGGTCCTGGGGCTTGAACTGGGGGCCTGGGTGCTGTCCCCCAGCTCTTCAGCTCAGGGCTAGCACTCTACCACTTGAGCTACAATGCTGCTTCCGGCTTTTCTGTTTATGTGGTGCTGAGGAATGGAACCCAGAGCCCCTAGAATTGTTTTTTAAAAAGATGAACTCTATAAACAGGACTACTGATGTGTTATTTTGACATTGGGCAGCTTGTTGCCCTGTGGCTCTCAGAATTGTCCCAGCAGACTTCCAACCCCCTGTATCTGTTGGTGTTATACTTCCCCTGCCCTCCACACTCCTGGGCAGTTTCAGCTCTGTGGTGGCCGCGTTTTTGTGGTGGTCTTGCGCTCTGCGCGGCAGAGCGGGTGCGGGCATGATGGTGTGTGCTTGCAGGTCACAAGGTGGTACTGCCCATGCACTCCTTCGCACAGCTGCGCGATCTGCATTTTGACCCTTCCAATGCTGTGGTCCACGCGGGTGGCATTTTGTCCCTGGAAATAACCTTGTGCAGCCAGATGCCTGTCCCTGTCCACATGGACCAGATTGCTGTCAACGTCCACTTCAGCATTGAGAAAAACAGTTACCGGAAGACGGCGGAGTGGCTCACCAAGCACAAGACGTCCAACGGGATCATTAAATTCCCCAGTGAGGCCTCGCCATTCCCCACCTCGCAGAGCAGCCTGCCCGCGCTGGAGCTGTCGGAGATGTTCGAGAGAAGCCCTTCCGACAGCTCTCTCAACACCACCGGGATCATTTGCAGAAATGTGCACATGCTCCTGCGGAGGCAGGAAAGTGGCTCGTCCCTAGAGACAGCCTCCGGGGTGGCCCTGGAAGACGGGGCCCACGTGCTGAAGTGCAGCAGCGTGACCCTGGAGCCGGGGGCCAACAGGGTCACCTTCAGGACTCAGGTATGGGCTCTGCCTGCGTCCCTGTGGGAGGCAGCCTCGGTGGGGGTGGGGCTCTGCCTGCTTCCCTGTGCTTTCTTCTTTGTCCTTAACGAAAATGACAGTGACCTAAAAAATTCCAAGTTCCCCCTCCCTCCATACTGGGGCTTGAACTTGGTGTCTCGTGCTTGCTAAACAAGCGTTCTACCACTGCTGCTGCACCCCAGACATAAAACATTTCCTACACATTTTCGCTGTTGTTGGATTTTTTTTTTTTTTTTTTTTGGTCTGTCGGTCATGGGGCCTGAACTCTGGGCCTGGGTGCTGTCCCTCAGCTCTTCAGCTCAAGGCTAGCGCTCTACCACTTGAGCCACAGCACCACTTCTGGCTTTTTCTGCTTATGTGGTGCTGAGGAATCAAACCAAACCTAGGGCCTTATGCATGCCAGGCAAGCATCTACCACTGAGCCACCTTCCTAGGCCCTGTGGATTTTGAATGAAGTTTGTTATATACACTCTTTTTATCAAATAGGATTAGTAGATTTAGTTAACCATTTCCTTTGTGTATTAGTTACCCTCATTAAACTGAGATTTCAAAGAAAGTCCACTCTTGGTGAATGTCCTCCTTTTGTGTCTGCATGGGGCTGGAGTAGTTGTTTTTGGCCCATTTCCTCTGCTGCAGCATCCCCTATGTATGCGGCTCTCTTGAGTGGGTGGGGAGGCGGGAAGGGGCATTCTCAGTCCCACGTGGGTCTGCTCTTGTCCCGGAGCAGGGCTTGCATCTGCTGACCTTCACAGTGTGCCATGAGCAAACAAACACGAACAAACAAACTCATTCGTAATCTGAGTCCAGACTGAAGCATCAGCTGCTCAGAAAAATCCAGGTTTGGGAGGACCTGTTGGAACAGCCCAAGTGCAGACCAGATGCCCAGGCAGAAGGCTAGGAGGGAAAGAAGACAGGCATTTGGAAGAGATCACATTCGGTCTTACCAGGAAGCTTGTAACCACAAATAGGTGGCCATCTTTCCAAGTGCCTGATTTTTGACCCTAGGCCAAGGAGCCTGGAACGTACACGCTCCGGCAGTTGTGCGCCTCAGTGGGCCCTGTGTGGTTCGTCCTTCCGCACATCTACCCCATCGTGCAGTATGACGTGTACTCTCAGGAGCCCCAGCTGCACGTGGAGCCTCTGGCCGGTGAGTACAGCCACTCGGGAGGTGGCTCAGGGGGGCTGCCTTCCTCTCTCCGGCCGCGGGAATACCAGGCTAATGTAGTGGAAATTCTGTCCGGAGCCAATGGACTGAAATGAGTTGCCCAGAAATGCTACGTTTTTAACTGGAGTATTGAGAATAAGAAAGCAGAAAAGGTAGCCAGCTGTCAGACAGGCAGGGTCTGCCGCCAGGAGCTGTGCAGGCTCCCAGCTGGCGCTCCCTTTAGATGCTGAGGAACAGGGTGTTGCCTGGGCTGCTAAGACTTCCCTGGAAACCCTCACCCGGCGTTGTTATTCAGAGCTACTGGCCATTCAAATGAGGTCTAAGTTAGAAGGAGCTGGCGGTCTCGAATGGCTGAAGACCGGAAGGCCTTTATTAAACACTAGTAAGTGAAGACTGGGGCTCCCTTCGGCTGGGGATGGTGTGCTTGTTTGTTTCTTCCACTGTGGGGGAGGCCCACGTAAATGTGCACACACCCTGTACCCAAACCCCCGTGTGCGCCCTGTCTGCTCTCCCAAGCCAGGCCTGCTGCTCCTTCAGTGTCCTGCCAGCTCCTAAGAAGATGTCCCTAGCACATCTGTAGCCTCCTTGCCTCCTTTACAGTTTAAAGGAACAAGGGAACTTTTTTTAATCGAAGTCCAGTTCTCAGTCTTCCTGCTTTGGAACTCCTGCAGAGACCCGTCCCTGCCTCTGCCAACCCCTTCCTGCCCACCTTTACCTCCCTCTCTTGTCTTTGTACTTCTTGTTCCTCTCACCTCCTTCCCCCACCCTCCAGGGCAGGAGTCTCAGAGACTTGAGCTCACTTTTTTTTTTTTAATATTTGACAATTTTTTTAATTGTGAAAATACTGTACAGAGGGGTTACAATTACATGGGTAAGATAATGAGCACATTTCTTATCAAGCATTGTAGCCTCCTCCTTTGTTTCCCCTTCTCATCCTTCCCATCCCTTCCCATCCTCCCCCCCCCCCCCCCGTCCCCCCCACCAAAGTTGTAAAATTCGTTTTACACATAACAACTTGTACATCTCATTGTTGCAATGGGTCCTCCTGTAACCCTGTTTTAACTATTTGTTTTTTCCCTTCCCCTCCACGTAGACCAACATCATAGATAGTGAAAGCAGGGGTTGTACCATGGGGGAGGGACATACAAGGCAGCAAAGACATAATCTTATAAATATGTTAGAAACAATGGCATGAAAGATCTCTTTTTTTTTGTCAGTTGTGGGGCTTGAGTTGAGCTCACTCTTGATTGTGGCGAGAGACACAGCTGTCCTTGCTTTGCTACTTCTGAATCAAAATCAGGGAGGTCCAAGGCGCCCCGCTCCCCATGGTAACCTGTGTTCTCAAGACTCTCAGTCACGGTCACTCTAGACCACTGCAGGATGGAGACCCAGGCTCTCCTCCCCCAGTGCTACAGGTTGTAGCATGCAGGGGGCAAGGGAGTGCGGAAGACTGAGCAGTATCCAAGATGAACAACCAAGTGTCTGCAGTAAAGGAAACAGTGCCATGAATCCTCTATGTGGGCCTCGGTAGCCTCTTATCTGGGTTGAGCAGTGCTAATTGCCATCTTATTCCCTTTAGATAGCCTTTTGGCTGGCATTCCTCAGAAGGTCAAGTTTACTGTCACTACTGGCCATTATACAGTGAGAAATGGGGATAGCCTCCAGCTCAGCAACGCAGAAGCCATGCTCATCCTGTGCCAGGCGGAAAACAGAGCCATGATCTATTCCAACTCGAGAGGTGAGGCAGGCGTATGGCGTAGACAAACCATGTCCCACACATGAGGAAGTGAGAGTGGCTGGCATTGCTGCCCCAGTCCACGCGTCCTGACACTTTGGATGTTCCCTGCTGGCCTCCGTGGCACCTGAGGTCATGTTCATGGTGGACTGGGCATGGAGCATGTGCTGGGTGTCAGCTGCTGCTGACTTTGCTGGGAAGCGTAGGGCAGCCTCGTGGCTGGCCAGCTCTGTTGAGCACCTCACTAGCCTTGGCTACCCATCCATCACTGAGAGCCGAAGCACATCAGATCAGACTCTTGAGGGGCTCCTGTCCTGAGTAGGCCTGAGCCTCACGGAGGAGGAAGGCCTCTGGGGAGGGGTGGAGCAGGCGGACATGGTGTGAGGATGTGTGCTCCTGGTGGAAACTGCCCCTCTGTCTTCACCTGAGGGTGGTGCTGTGAGCTGCCAGCCCCTCTGCTGAGCCCCATCCTGCGTCTTTCTGGGATTTCCTTGCCTCTCCCCTTGCATCCAGCTCCGTGGGGCTCTGGGGCATCTCATGCCAGGTCTGCACTGACGGTGGGAAGAACGGATGAGGCAAGGTGCTGAGGGGGCTTTGTCTCCCACAGAGGAGTCCTCCACGGCACTGCTCCGGATCCAGTCCTCTGACAAGGTCACAAGCATCAGCCTCCCTGCTGCACCTGCGTACCACGTGATCGAGTTTGAGCTGGAGGTTTTGTCGTCCCCTTCGGCCCCCGCCGCTGGGGTGGAGAGCAGCGTGCTGGCCTCACCGGAGCCCCCCGGGAAGCAGAAGGACGACAGGCAGAGAGCTGCCGTTGGTATGATCACCACGGACCACAAGGTAGGGGGGCCGCAAGCCATAGAGTTACGGTGGCAGCTTCTGCTCATCGGACGTGGGAGAGACAGCACTCCCCGTCCCGGGTCCTCTCCTGTGGAGCTCCACCATGTGCAGCAGGCCTGCCTGACCGCCCCACCCTGGCTTGGGGAAAGACAGCCCATATTACTGTGGTGAACGACGGGGTTGTGTGTTTCATGGCTGGGCCAGAAGACGCAGTCGCAGTGGGTTTTTGAGCTGGCGTTTAATAGCTGTGTGCGAGCTCTGGCCGTGCACCCAGGCACACGGGAGTCAGCTTGAGAGGGGGACCCATGTCCCATGGGCTTGTCTGTCCACCCCCTGACACAGGCACTCTCCTGAGGGCCTTTGACCTGCCCCGCATGGCACAGGAGCAGTAGGACAAAAGTCTCAGACGCCACTCATTCACTTAGAAGAGACTGTGACATAAACTCGGGATGGTTTCCTGTTTCAGTCCTTAAGGAGTCGAGGAGGCGGAACTCATGGTTCTTAGGGAGGGAGGGGTGTGAATGCATGGAAAGCTTAAGACCCAAGTCTACTCTTGCTCGTTGGGGAACTCCTTGCTCTGTCAAGTGATATTTTAGGAACGTCTGCAGCAGCGTGGGATACGTTAGCTCCGCTGGAGTAGCTAGGGATTGCTAGAGCCCTCGGCGGCGCCCGCCTCTGCACTTCCCGGGACCCTTGGCTCAGGGCCTCAGTGTGTGAGGCTGCAGTGGTACTTGCCTGTACAACTCACCAGTTCTGTATCCCAGGTTTGGTTGGTTTCTGGCTAGCTCATATGCATACATTTAGTAGGAGGGGCTGGGAAGGTGGCTCAGTGGTAGAGCGCTTGCCTTGCATACTTGAGGCCCTGGGTTCGATTCCTCAGCACCACATAAGCAAAAAGAAAAAAGCTGGAAGTGGCTCTGTGGCTCAAGTGGTAGAGCGCTAGCCTTGAGCTGAAGAGCTGAGGGACAGCGCCCAGGCCCAGAGTTCAGGCCCCACGACCGGACCCAAAAAAAAAAACAAAAACATTCTGAGGAATGTGCAGGGAAGTGATAATAAAGTGTGCAGGAGATTGGCAGTTGCTAGAGCTGGGCTTGCCACCTGGGAAGTGTGCTGAGCATGTTCCTCTGTTTCCTGCAGGTGTCCATTGACTGCCCGTGGTCCATCTACTCCACTGTCATCGCGCTGACATTCAGCGTGCCCTTCAGGACCACGCACTCCCTGCTCTCTGCTGGAGCTCGGTAACAGAGACACGAGGCCAGGCTGCTCCATGCAAAGTCGGGCCTTGCCTGATTACACTTCCTTACAGACCATGGCCAGGGCCCGTTCTCAGCCACTCCTTGTTCCTGTTCACCTAATCCATGTATCCTCTTCCCTCTGTCCCAGAGTTTATTTGAGTTGGGGTCCAGACACAGAGTACACTGGAGAGTCTCCTTTTACCTCTTCTCAGTGTCCTAAATCATTCACCTGTTGGTATACTGCATTGTTCAGCCTTCAGAAGACCTGTCATTCTGGACTGGCTAGATGTATGCTCTTTGGCTGAAGAATGACTTTCCCTGTCATCTGCTAGTGAGCGCTAGTTACTGAGAACCTGACCTTTGGGGTTGATGCTTTGTTGTAGGGAAACTGACTATGTCATTTACAAAACCACAGCAGAACTGTCCCTCTGATCACTTCCCATAGAAATCAACTGCTTGAGAGGATTTGGGGAGGTTTTAAGTCAAATGTGGAAACATATGTATTTCTTTTTCTTTCACTGTTCTGATTCCCTAGTCAGTGAGGTCTCCTAACAAAGTAAAGTGTACTTTATAAGATTTGTAAATATCAAAATCACATTATTTCTGTTTTAGGAAATATGTCCAGGTTTGTGTCCAGAACTTGTCAGAACTCGACTTTGAGCTGTCAGATAGTAATCTGGAGGACACAGGCCAGGCTTCTGACCTGAGGATAATACCACTGAACACGCAGCCCCAGCAGGTAAACAGACGCGCTCTGGAGGCCAGCGTGACCTCGGGACGGGTGTGCTGGGCCGTGTGCCCTCAGGTTGGATGTTGAGCTCGTGGTGCAGAGGAGGCTGATTCAGAAGGGCTGGCCACCAGTGGACCCCTGTGCTGTGTGTGTGCACATGTGGGTTTTGGGGGTGAGGGGGGTACACAGCACCGCAATGGATCAGGCAAAGAGCATTGAATCGTGACCTGCCTGTCTGCGCCTGACTTGTGCAGATGCAGGTGGTGCTTTGTCTCCTGTTAAGGTCTGGGCCACCCCTGAGGAAAGAGCACCAGTTCCGTGTGGCTGGCGTGTCCTCGCTGCCGGGCTGAGCACTGCCTTTTCTTATGGCGCTTTTGGACAGTAAATGCTGCTGTGTTGGAACCATCAGGGGCTTGCCAGTGGTGCCTTCATTTGCAGAAGACTTGCCCAGTAATGCTTGGCATGGCCACCCCGTGCTGAGCAGGAGTGCAGGCATCGCGTCCAGCAGTGGGTTGGGGCTGCCCTCTCATGCTCCCTCCCAGTGGGCTGTGTGTGGAGAGCAGTGGGTGTGGGTGTCAGGATGGAATTGGTTGATGACTGTCTTCACCCCTTCACTCAGTGGAGGGATTTGCTTTGGCTCATGGTTTCAGTCCATGGTTGCTTGGCGGGCTGCTTTTCCACCTGTGGTGAGGCGGCATTTCATGGTGTGGAGTGCGTGGTGGAACAGAGCTGCTCACTTTACTGGGGAAGGGAAGAGGGTGGGGGAGAAGGCAGCAGCGTGAGAGGAAGGGAGAGGGAGAGACAGACTCCCTGCTTCCTCCAACTTGGCCCAGCATCCTTACATTTCTGCCCCATCCCCATATGCCATGAGCCGGGGAGCGGGACCTGGCCTCCCTCCCTCCGGATCCGTGTTCTCCGGGCCCTCGGCGGCTCGGGACTGACCCCCTCTGCTCTCTGCAGCACATCCACAGCAAGCAGTCGGTGTTCTTCGTCTGGGAGCTGACGTGGACACGGGAGCCTCCCCCCGCTCTGCACGGCCGCTTCTCTGTTGGATTCTCCCCAGCAGCTGGAGAACAGCTGTCCGTCTCCTTAAAGCCCTACACGTACGAATTTCAAGTGGAAAACTTTTTTGTACGTAATGTATGATTTGGACCGTGGGCGTGGGGCGGGGAAGTGCAGGTGTCACTCCATGATTCCCTCTGATTTCCAGGCGCATCTCGGTGTAGTAAAGCAGAGGCTCGGGGCACTTGTTGACTGAGCCGCTGAGCACCGGCCGTGGTGTGCACGCCGCTAATGCTGTGCTCTGGAGAAAAGCTTGGGGTTTTTTTTTGGGGGGGTCTGGTTGTAGGGCCTGAACTCCGGGCCTGGGCGCTGTCCCTCAGCTCTTCAGCTCAAGGCTAGCGCTCTACCACTTGAGCCACAGCGCCACTTCCAGCTTTTTTCTTTTTGCTTATGTGGTGCTGAGGAATTGAACCCAGGGCCTCAAGCATGCAAAGCAAGCGCTCTACCACTGAGCCACCTTCCCAGTCCTGTCTACAGCTTTTAGTAACGCATACTGGACACAGGGAGCGAGAAGTCCACCTTGTCCCAAATTTGCTTTAAAACACTTCAGGGAGGTGGCTCAGCAAGCGAGGCCCTGGGTTCAAATCCCAGTACCTCAGTCAACACAACAATACACACACGTAAGTCAAGTTCAGAAATGTAGATGAATAGATGGATGGAGCAAGCTAAGCAGTGTTGATAGTCTGAGTCCGGGACACGGGGAGATATCCTATGCTTGATGTCCATAATGCGGGGAAGGCTGGCGGGCTCTGGTGTTAGGCCTCCCAGGTCTCCGTGTCTGGACCCGAGTGGCCGGGCCGTGGTGATGTGAGGCTGTGCGGCAGCCCCCCATTGCCTTCATTGGCCTCGGGCTTTTATTGCCTTTGAACTTTTCTGTTCCTTCCTGCCTAGACTCTGTACACCGTGAAGGCTGAGATCCTGCCTGCTCCGGGAGCGCAGTACTGTAGGACTGGCTCGCTCTGCTCCCTGGAGGTGTCCATCACGCGGCTGGCCGCCCTCCTGGAGGTGGACAAGGACGAAGCACTGGTGGAATCCGATGACTACCTGTCCACCAAGCTCATGTATGAAGGTGCGTCCGAGCGCCATCTCCTACCATGCCATTACACAGCAGTCCTGGGCTTGGTGACCACAACTCCTCTGCCCGGCTGAAGCCCCCCTGGAGCCCAACAGCGGCTCTGTGCCTGTGACCCCGGTCCAGCCCTCACTCCTGAAGCAGCTTCAAGACCCCTCTGCTCGGCAGCCAACAGCCAACACTCCCTCACCTCACCCCTCCCACTGTCCCCAGGCTCCTCCCAGCCCTCCTCACCTCACCCCTCCCACTGTCCCCAGGCTCCTCCCAGCCCTCCTCACCTCACCCCTCCCACTGTCCCCAGGCTCCTCCCAGCCCTCCTCACCTCACCCCTCCCACTGTCCCCAGGCTCCTCCCAGCCCTCCTCACCTCACCCCTCCCACTGTCCCCAGGCTCCTCCCAGCCCTCCTCACCTCACCCCTCCCACTGTCCCCAGGCTCCTCCCAGCCCTCCTCACCTCACCCCTCCCACTGTCCCCAGGCTCCTCCCAGCCCTCCTCACCTCACCCCTCCCACTGTCCCCAGGCTCCTCCCACCTCTCCTCACCTCACCAGCGCTTGGGTTCCTCAGTCCAGTGATTCCCAAAGTTGCTCTAAACACATGGTTGACAAATACGTATTTACTTGTTTACTTTGCAGCAACAGTAAACTCAAGACATGTTTATAAAAAATAAGTGTATCCTCAAACAAAGGAAAAATACTGCTGATTTCCATTCTTTGAAATCTCCTTAATACCTGGCTTCGTAGGGGCTAGCTCGGTCTGCGTCTCCTCTTGCAGTCGCTCTGGGGTCTGGTGTGCTGTGGAGCGCTTGAGGCAGGCCCCGCCTCACAGACTCAGAGCTTGCGAGGCGGCCTTTTGTTAGCGGTGGATGTTACCTTTGCTGCTGACTAAAGCCAGACTGTGGCAGTCTGCAGACCAGGTGTGGGTGCAGTCTGATTTCATGTAGTCCTTTGAGCACGTTCTCCGTGCCTAAGAACGAACATTAACTTCAAGCAGGAGAGTAGATTTAGGTCCCCGTTTCAGAGGTGGTCAGCCCGACTATCGGAGCGGCAGGAGCTTGTGATAGAGGAGGCTGCTCCCCCACTTCCTCTCACCAGGCCCCGACTGCGAAGCCCTGTGATGTAATCACGAGCTCACCCGCTGCAGAGCTCAGGCATTGCGCAGGGCCCCTAGCTGGGGACCCGGCTCTCAACCCCGGAGCCTTGGCAGATACTTCCTACCCAAACGTGGGAGACTGTTGGTCTGGGAAGCCGTGCCACCCATCTTAGCTGGCCCTGCGTGCCTCGTGCAGAGGAGAGCCTGCTTTTCTGGTGCGGCCACTGTGGTCTGCCCGAGAGCAGTGGCGCCACGGAGTGCGCGCGAGGCGCTGTGCACAAAGAGCTGCGCGTGTGCATCCCCGCTAGCAGCTCTCCCCCGCTGAGTGTGGGCTGGCGGGCGGGCGGGCGACCTGTGCACACCGCTGTGCTGCTCGCAGCTCTCCCCCGCTGAGTGCGGGCGGGCGGCCTGTGCACATCGCTGTGCTGCTCGCAGCTCTCCCCCGCTGAGTGCGGGCGGGCGGGCGGGCGGCCTGTGCACACCGCTGTGCTGCTCGCAGCTCTCACCCGCTGAGTGCGGGCCGGCGGGCGGGCGGCCTGTGCACACCGCTGTGCTGTTCTCATTTCAGTTGTGGACAACAGCAGCAACTGGGCGGTGTGTGGGAAGAGCTGCGGCGTCATCTCCATGCCGCTGGCTGCCCAGGCCACCCACCGCGTCCGCATGGAGGTGATGCCTCTGTTCGCGGGTTCCCTGCCCGTGCCCGACGTCCGGCTGTTCAAGTACCTCCCCCACCACTCCACTCACTCTTCGCAGCTGGATGCCGGTAAGGACCCGCCGCAGCCAGCAGTCCGAGTCACACCCGCAGTTACTCTGCCAAGCCTAGCCACCACCCTGGACTAGTTTCTCCTGCGTGCAGCGCCAAAATGGTTTTCTTAACCAACTGCAGGGGCCAGCATCCAACACAAAGCCTGTTTACAAAAAATACACAGGTGTAGGCAGGACAGGATTCCAGAACAAAATACAACAGCCAAGGGCACAGGCAGCCAGCCCGCTTACTGCTGGCCGCGGGTGAGGGCCGCCACAGGTGAGGGCCGGACTGACTGGGAGCTTCAGTCGCTGCCGCCACCAAGGCACAGGAAGATCAGACTGTATCACAGCCCGCATGGGGCTGGAAACAGCATGGCTGGGCACGGGTGGCTCACGCCCATCATCCTAGCTACTTAGGACGCTGAGATCTGATTATTGTAGTTGGAAGCCAGCCGGGGCAGGAAAGTCTGTGAGACTCATCTCTAATTTGCCACCAAGAAAAAGCTGTAAGTGGAGCTGTGACTCACATGGTAGAGCCCTAGCCTTGAGTAGCTCTTAAGTTTAAGCTACAGAACCAGCATACACATACACACACCCCCAATTCAAGGTATGGCTTCTGAAGACACACTGCACCATCAAGCGGTGGAAGGGTTGATAGTTGGAAGCATGGTCAGCCAGGGCCGTCTATAAATTCCGAGTTGGGAGGGCGGGCATGAGATGTGAGGGTGCGGGGCAGGTGTCGCCCGGAGGCCGCAGCTCTCCTCAGCCGCTGCAAAGGCAGTGCCTTGGGCGACGCTGGTCCTGCAGGAGGCTTTGCCCCGGGAGGGGAGGGGTGGCGGGTGCCGGCCGCCGTGGGTGTGACTCCCTGCGTGTTCTGTGCTGTACAGACAGCTGGATTGAGAGCGACGGCCTGCCGGTGGACCGGCGCCTGGACGACCAGCCGGACTGCAGCAGCGTGTGGAGCCGAGGCAGCGTGCACTCGGCTTCCAGTGGCGAGCTCAAAGGCTTGCCCATGCCCCGCCTCCAGGCCCTGCCCACGGGCCAGGTCTTCAACTCCAGCACCGGCACACAGGTCCTGGTCATTCCCAGCCAAGACGACCACGTCCTGGAAGTCAGCGTCACATGACACCGCAGACGGCTGTGCGTGTACTTTAGGGACTGTGGCTGGGTTGCTGTGTGTCATGACCTGCTGGCTCAGCAGACGTGCGTGGGTGACCCTGCCTGGCCACAGAGGCATCGGGCTGGGTGTTCAGCTGGCCAGAGCCGCGGAGCTTCCCTTTATGTTGTTTAACAAAGGAGTCATTGTTATTTCCTCGTCCCTCCCGCGCGCACCCCTCACGCGCGCTGCTCCTTCAGCGTGCCATCATCTCTGGTCTCCGCCGCCACCGCAACTTCCTGTCCTCTGGCACTGTGCACAGCTCACCACCTTCAGGGGACACCTGCCGGCCATGCAGGCTTCTTACAACACTGTGTGCCGTTTCCGTCACACGGCTGCCCATGTCCTGGACCGGGAGGACTCGAGGCCCTCCTCCGGTCCAGATCACCTAGCTGTGCTTTTCCACACTAACACCTCTGGAGCAGTGGGTGGGGGTGCAGGGTGGGGCCAGGAGGAGACATAACCCCTCTGTGCCTTGGAGTGGCAGAGCTGTGGACTATGACGGTCGCCGTCTGGAGCCATGCTAAAGTACTTAAGACTACCAGGCGGAAGGAACAGCTCCGTGGAGAAGTGGTTTAGGAATAAATGTTTCTGTATTCCTGGCCCCCCTGATGTTAACTGAGTATCATATGCACTTGGAATTAAATATATATTTATTTTAATTGTCTTTATAAATGTGGGGGTTAGTACGTTGTTTTTCTCTCACTTTTAAAGTCTGTACATATAATTGTAGCCGTATAATCAGCATCTTTCTTTGCACCTTAAGTCTCAGACATTAAGCTGCTGCTTCTGGAGTGGAGATCGGAGGGGCTCGGCGTGCTCTGGCCTGGCAGGGGAAGGACTGGGTCTGCAGCGCCGCCTCTGCTCATCCACTCGGTTGCAGTATACCATACCAACGGGTGCGCTTACTTTGGGTTGTAAATTTAATTGTACATATGGTTGATTTATTATTTTTAAAAGTACAGACTAACGGATGTAATGTTTATGTATAACTTGCACCAAAAATCAAGGACAAAATAAATGTGCATTTCTTTTTACTGGTGTGAAAATCACAGCTTGTAAATACATGTTGTATGTAAGAAACCTTTTCAGCTCTCCAGAGCGATGTATTTTTGTACATATGACGTAGAGTGCTGTGAATCCGTGGGTACGGTGTGTGAGGGGATGTTGGGTCTGGCAGCGGTGAGGCCTCCTTGAGCAGCCTGAAGCGTGTGAGCCAGAGGTGCAGGAGCCTCCTCCAGCCCTGCTGACCCCGCCGGCAGCGAGCTCTCCAGCCTGCACACTGAAGTGGAGAGCACAGACGGAGGCCGGGACAGTATTCTGTATGTTGACTTTTCAATTGTTCAGCAAATAAAAGATGGTGTGATTTCCCCCCCCCCCCCATGTCTTTATCATTTGTAGAACATGAATTTGTAAAGAAGACAAACATCCATGAGTTTAAACGTTTAGGAAATCTACCTTCCATGCAGTTTAAAACTAATAAACTTGATCAAACTAGTAAGGCAAAATAGACTCAAGTTCTTGGGCCCCTAAGTAAGATTTTGTTTTAGTTTTTTTTTTTAATGACCAAACTTGATGATGGTCCTTTAGATGCGCCAAGCCTGTGGCTGAAGAGACCTGTGGTTCAGTTCTATCAAAGAAGCTTCCAGTCCTCTGTGTAGCCCTGAGACTACTCCTCTCCACGTGTGGCTGTTCCTTGTTCACCCTCACTGGGCAACAACAGGATTCAGTGTTCATACATCTTTTGACTTTCTTGTTTCTGCATTCTCAGGGTGAGTTTTTCTCATTACGTCTGTTTAGAGGAAGAGAAATAAGGGAAATTGAAATAATTGTCATTTCTGGAAATTGAAATCAAATCACAGCTTCCTCCGGTTATCTAGAAGATCTTCTGCAAACTAAAATAAATGCTTCTGCCTTAAAAGTCAAGAGTTAAAGTCATTTTTGTTTCTTAATATTGGTCATAAGAGTAGCTGGCCGGCACTGAGTTTGTGTTACAAGATTGCATGTATGCGAAACAAGTTGGTTTTGTTGATAAAGATGGAGCAAATGTTGCACAGTGGAACCAGTGTGGAATGGTGTCTCAAAAGCAGGATGGTGCAGCCATCCTGCAGCTGTCCCGCTGAGCACGCAAACAGGAGCAAATGAAGAAGAAAAGGTCTCATTTCTGTGACTTTCATGAGAGCCTCCTATGATGGGGGAAATTACTTGCCGATTCTTTGTGTGCATTGTGTTAACGCTGAAAAATGACATAGCTGTAGTTCTGACATCTGCACCACCACAGCGGGTCAGGTTCCTGTATTAAGTCTCGGTGGACAAGAACAGAATTTCCACAGAAGAGCTTCTGTTTACCCCCCAGTGTCTTAGGATTAAATTTTAAATTGTAAAATGAAATTTAATAGCTGGGCACCTGTGGCTCGTGCTGCAATTCTAGCTCCTCGTGAGGCTCAGACATGAAGATCATGGTTCAAAGCCAGCCCGTGCAGAAATTAGTCCCGGTGAAACAGTGGCGCTGCGGCTGGGGTGGCAGAGCGCCCCGCGCTGATGACAGGCTGGGAGTGGGCGCCGGGCCCAGCGAGCCAGGTCCCCCGCGACGACGGTGCCCGGCTAGCCCTGACAGCCCTGACGGGAGCTACCGGCCGGGCTGGGCGGCGCCGGAAGCCCACGCCCAGCGCTCACACTGTGAGCCGGGCGGCAGGGCGGGCGGAGGGGGTTACCCCGCGGACTCCGGGCCCACGGCCCGCGCCGGCCCGCCGGGAGCGTTCAAGCGGGTGGTGCGGGCCTGTGGTCCTGGCTGCCGGGCGGACCCTGGCTGGGACGCGCCCGGGCCCGCGAGGCCTAGCCCGTCACAGGCCGCCGCGGGTCGGCGCCGGACGCAGGGCGAGGCCCAGGCCCGCTCCCGGTGACCCCGTGACCGTGGCGCGGCTGGGCCCCCCCCGGACCCTGCGAGGCGAGGGGGCCGCGGCGTTGACTCCGCCCGCGACCCGCCGTGGGAAGGCCCGCGGAGGCGCGCCCGGGACGCCGCGCCCGGGACGCCGCGCCCAGCCGCCTTCGCCGGGTGGGCGGGGCTCGGGGGCTGGTGAGGCTCCGCCCACCGGGGCGGGGCTGTCTTCCCTGGGTCCCGCCCCGGACGTGTAGCCCGCGACTTCCGGTCCCTGCCGGAAGTTGGTGCTGGGGTGGAGATACACGCGTGCGGCCGCCGGGATGAAGTTCGCCTACCGGGTAAGCGAGCCGGGCCGGGCCGGGCCGGGCGTGGACGGGACGGGGCCGCAGGCCTGCGGAGGCGGCCGGCCGGCTCTCCGGTGCCGAGCCCGCCGCCCTCTCTCCTCAGTTCTCGAACTTGCTGGGCACCGTTTATCGGCGCGGAGACCTGAACTTCACGCGCGACGGGAACTCGGTCATCAGCCCCGTGGGGAACAGAGTCACCGCGTTCGACCTGAAGAAGTAAGCGGGCGGGCCGGCGGCGGCGGGGGGGACGGCGGGGCGGCGGGGGGGGCGGCGGGCCGGCGGGGCGGCGGGCCGGCGGGGCGGCGGGCCGGCGGGGGGGCGGGGCGGCGGGGGGGGGCGGCGGGCCGGCGGGGCGGCGGGGGGGGCGGCGGGCCGGCGGGGGGGCGGGGCGGCGGGCCGGCGGGGCGGCGGGGGGGGGGGCGGCGGGCCGGCGGGGCGGCGGGGGGGGGCGGCGGGCCGGCGGGGCGGCGGGGGGGGGCGGCGGGCCGGCGGGGCGGCGGGGGGGGGGCGGCGGGGGGGGGCGGCGGGGGGCGGGGCGGCGGGCCGGAGGGGCGGCGGGGGGGGCGGCGGGCCGGAGGGGCGGCGGGGGGGGGCGGCGGGGGGCGGGGCGGCGGGCCGGCGGGGCGGCGGGGGGCGGCGGGCCGGAGGGGCGGCGGGGGGGGGCGGCGGGGGGGGCGGCGGGCCGGCGGGGCGGCGGGGGGGGGCGGCGGGCGGGGGGGGGCGGCGGGCCGGAGGGGCGGCGGGGGGCGGCGGGGGGCGGCGGGCCGGCGGGCCGGCGGGCCGGCGGGCCGGCGGGGGGCGGGGCGGCGGGCGGGGGGGGCGGCCGGCGGGGGGGGGGCGGCGGGGGCGGCCGGCGGGGGGGGGGGCGGGCCGGCGGGGGGGAGGCCGGCGGGGGGCGGGCCGGCCGGCGGGCCGGCGGGGGGGGGGGGGCGGCGGGGGGGGGGGCGGGGGGCGGGGCGGCGGGCGGGGGGGGGGCGGCCGGCGGGGGGGGGGGCGGCGGGGGCGGCCGGCGGGGGGGGGGGCGGGCCGGCGGGGGGGAGGCCGGCGGGGGGGCGGGCGGGGCGGCGGGGGGCGGGGCGGCCGGCGGGGACGCGGCCCGGCCTGGCGCTCTCAGCCTGCGTCGCTGACGGACCCCGAGGCCTCAGCGCGGCCGGCCCGGGCAGCCCGCCCCGCAGCTGCAGGCCTGAGGCGCTCAGGGGCGGCCTCCTGTCCTGTCAGGAAGGGCCGAGCTCCTTCCCGCCGTGGGTGGAAGGCCTTGGGCTGACCCTCTGCAGCCGGAGCAAGACTTTGGGTTTTGAGACTGCTTGGGTCTCTGTCTTTGGGGCCTCAGTTGCTCTGTCTGCCATCAGCTGCGCCTGGTTCAGGGCATTGCAGGAACGGGTCAGCTGCTGGTCTGTGAGCATTGCTCGTTTCCATTTTGTTTAAAAGAGGCTTTCTAGGTGAAGGAGGACACGTTGAAGAAAATCAGGACAATAATAAGATAACTACAACCTGGCTCTGACCCTTAGAGATGTGTCTGTTTTTCTCTTTCCATGTATTTTCCCATTTCTTTTTTTTTCTCAGTGTTAGCATTGAGGCTTGAACTCAGGGCCTAGGCACTACTTCTAAGAGTCTTTTTCTTAAGGCTAGCGCTCTATCACTTAGACAACAGCTCTATTTTTTGGCTTTTTCTGAGTTGTTTGTTGGAGATGAGAGTCTCATGGACTTTCCTTCCTGGGCTGGCTTCAAACCATGATCCTCAGATCTCAGCCTCCTGAGTAGGTAGGATTACAGGCGTGAGCCACTGGTGCTCAGCACAAAGCAGATGCTGTGCTATAGTCTTCTCCAGACATATTTCAGGGACAGTTTGGGGAAAGGCCCAGGGATAAGAGGTGAACTCTGGTACCATGGATCCTTGGAGAGCTGGGCTGATGATTTGTTTCTGGACTCTCTGTCTTTTGATGACACTGTGTGCTATGGCTTTTGCCTTGTGCAGCAACCGATCAAACACTCTGCCTCTGGCCACGAAGTACAACATCAAGTGCGTGGGGCTGTCTCCCGATGGCCGTCTTGCCATCATCGTTGATGAAGGTGATCACCTGCCTTGGGGGGGTGGGGTCACGGGTTACAGGCAGCAGGCCCCCTGTGGGGGCCGGGGCTGGGTGGGGTGGCTCTGTGTCCTCTGCACCGTGTTCTAGAGTGGCTGGGGCAGTGGTTAACTTCATGGCTCCTGGAATTAGTGCTTGGGGCCCTGGGTGTACATGCACAGCCACCCTCTCAAGCTTAGCCATGCCTATGAAGCAGGTGCCGAGTATGGGGACAGGTCCCAGGGTTTGCTGCAGGGTCACACCCTGGCCTCTTGCAGGGGGCGCTGCACTGCTGGTCAGCCTGGTCTGCAGGTCAGTGCTGCACCACTTCCACTTCAAGGGCTCTGTGCACAGCGTCTCCTTCTCCCCTGATGGCAGGTAAGGGCACTGGCTGCCGGGCCAACTGCTGCTGCTTCCACTTGGGCCTGAGGTGTTACCTGGGCACAGGGCCAGTCTTGCCTCCCATATTAGTAGCTTCCCCGGGATAGTAGAGGAGAAAGCGGGTACCCCAATGCTGGCTTCTTCAGCCCCTGTTGTTTAGGAAATGGGACACCATGCAGGTCCTGGGGGCTGGCTGGGGGGCTCCAGGCTCTATACCCCTCTTGAGCTACCACCAGCTTGGATAGCACCTGCATTCCTAGTTCTCTTGCAGGAAATTTGTTGTCACTAAGGGCAACATCGCTCAAATGTATCATGCTCCTGGGAAGAAGCGAGAATTCAATGCGTTTGTCTTGGACAAAACCTACTTTGGGCCGTATGACGAGACAACGTGCATTGACTGGACAGACGACTCCAGGTGCGGCGCCCGCGGCCTCCCCGGGACGCAGCTCCCGCTGTGCTGAGGGCGCGTTGAGGCGCTCTCCTGTGAGCTCCACAGGCGACGGGCTCTGGGGCGCGTCTTAAACGCCTTGCCAGCAGTGCTATCGGGAGCTAGCACCAGGGCCCAGTCCCTGAGCTCAGATCACTGCCTTTCACTGCCCAGTCCCAAGTCATCTCTGCAGTCTCAGTTTTCCTGATCACTGCCCCATGCTGAGCAGGAGCTGCCGGTGCTGTTGTGTCTCTGGCCCTGGCTTCCGCCTTGTTCCTGCACTTGTGCTGGCCCCGTGGGGGTGGGGGTGGAGAGGAAGGCTGTATGTGTGTATTGGCTTGCTGAGCCAGGACCGGCTTCAAGTAGCTGAGCCTTCCTGTGCTGCCTCTCACCCAGTGACATTGGTAGCCCACTCCTGTGTGAGGAACGGTTTTCTTGTTTTGGGCATCAGCTATGTCTGGGGAGGAAAGGCACAGGATGGAAGCAGCTCCCAGAGGAGCCCTATGTGTAGGACAACGTCCCGGTGTGTGGTGGTCGGAGCCTGCTGCAGACGAGCTCAGGCGCTCTCCGCGGCTGTGAGCCTTGCAGCTCCTCCCTCCCCTTTCAGGTGCTTTGTGGTTGGGAGCAAAGACATGTCCACTTGGGTGTTTGGAGCCGAGCGCTGGGACAACCTCATTTACTACGCACTGGGGGGTCACAAGGATGCGATCGTGGCCTGCTTCTTCGAGTCTAACAGTCTGGATGTGAGTCTCGGGGCGGGCCGGGCCGAGCGTCTGAGCCCCTGCACGTTGCTCCTGGCTGCCGGGGCCTTCGGTGGGACCTACTGTGCAGGAAGTAGGGGAGGGGCCCATGCTGTGCTGCCCTTCCCTTGCAGCTCTACTCGCTCAGCCAGGATGGAGCTCTGTGTGTGTGGCAGTGTGACACGCCCCCCGAGGGCCTGCGGCTGAAGGCCCCCACAGGCTGGAGGGCAGACCTGCTGCAGCGCGAGGAGGAGGAAGGAGAGGAGGAGGACGGGGAGAAAGAGACCACCATCCGGGGGAAGGCCATGCCTGCCGAGTCGGAGAAGACGGGAAAAGTGAAATACTCGCGCCTGACCAAGTAGGTCTCCAGAGAGTGGGCGTCCAAGTGTGGGTACCGCTGCTGTGGGCTTTCCTGCCCGCAGTGACCCCTAAAGCAGGAAATTCCTGGAGTAGTGAGGAGACTTGTTGGGTGCTTGGGGTGCTGAGATGCGCGACGGGCTCTGAGAGGCCCTCGGTTCTGTGAGGGCTGCTGTCAGGGCCTTGGGGCAGGACAGCCATACCGGCTGGACCTGGGGTGCTGGCTCGTGTGGGAGCTCAGGCCATGGTGGGCGAGGAGGCCATGGGCCTCAGCAGGGAGGAAAGAGCTTGGTGAGGGTGGCTCGATGCACTCGGGCCCTCCCAGGACCACGGGCACAGCCTTCCCTGTAGGGGCTGCTCGTGGGCCAGACGTCGGCACGGAGGGAGGGAGGCAGGCAGCCCCGGCAGCCAGTGCCTGCTGGGAGGACACGGGGAGGCAGGTCTGCTCCCTCCACCTAGAGCCAGCGGTCCTCCAGAACCCCTTCGTGTGAAGCAGGGGGGAGCAGATGGCCTAGAGAAGAGAGATGCAGCACACAGTGAAGTGTGGGGTCTTCTGTGGGCCACAGGCTGTGCACCACACCCTGTTCTGCAGGTGCCTGGCCCCCAGACACTCTGACAGCCTCTGGCTGGGGGACAGGGCTGCCAGCTCTGTGGACTTCCTCCTACCTGCCCCCCCTCCCTGCTATCTGATCTAGGTACTTCTTCAATAAAGAAGGAGACTTTAACAACCTCACCGCTGCAGCGTATCACAAAAAGACTCACCTCCTGGTCACGGGTTTTGCTTCTGGAATCTTCCATCTGCATGAGCTACCAGAATTCAACCTTATCCACTCTCTGAGGTGAGCCCTCTCACTGTGGGTTTCCAGGCCTCTCCCCCCTCTCCCAAGGCTCAGGCTGGGCCCCACGCGGAGGGGCCTCTCCAGCAGCCCAGGAGCCCCGAGCTCAGAGGTGGATCTCAGCAGGTTTTGCCCCTCGTTTCCTGTCTTCTGTTCTTCACCTTTAGATTATGGGGAAAATTTAAATTTCACGCACAAGTAACTTTGGCCTAGGACCCTGCAGGAAGGAAAGGGGTGACCCCGGGCGGCCCTCGTGCCCAGCCCCAGGTGGTGGTGGTCTCTCTGCTGACCCCCTGGTGTGCTTCTCTGCTCAGCATCTCCGACCAGAGGATCTCCTCGGTGGCCATCAACAGCTCTGGGGACTGGATCGCATTTGGCTGCTCAGGTGTGTTTTCCTGCCGGCTGTGGGAGCAGAGCTTCTGGAGGAAAACCTCCCCAAGGCTGGGCCTGGCGCCAAGTAGAGAAGGGCTGCGACAGAGTAGACCCTGGAAGCTGGCCTTCCTAGTGTAGCCTGGCGCCCCAGGAACAGTGCCTTCCCAAGGCGGACCCAGCAGGACCAGAGCAGAGAAAGGCAGTGAAGTTTCTACATGTTTCTAGACTGATTACATCTCTGAAGCATGTAGTTTCTTGCTTGAATTCTGGTCCAGTTGGCAGCTCCTTGAATGGCAGCCGAACCTTGGCTTCTGGAGGGTTGTGGTGGATGCCCACACCCTGCTCAGCTGTACTGGACCTGGCCTGAGCCCCAGTCAGTGGACGCCTCCCATCCTGGACCTCTGGCCTGAGCTGAGCTCAAGGCAGTGGGCAGTGGAGCACAGGGTGGCCCGGGCCCCCGCTGAGGAGATGTGGGGTCTTGGGGATGCTGGGCCCTGCCTTGTGCTAAGCGCAGGCCTGGCCCTGCCCTGGCGGGGTCCTCTGTGCTGTGTGCAGGCCTGGGCCAGCTGCTGGTGTGGGAGTGGCAGAGTGAGTCCTATGTCCTGAAGCAGCAGGGTCACTTCAACAGCATGGTGTCGCTGGCCTACTCCCCCGACGGGCAGTACCTCGTCACTGGTGGGGACGATGGCAAGGTGGGTACGGGGCGGGGGAGGGGCGGCTTGGCCAGGTTGGGTGTTGTGAGCAGGGCTGGGGTGGGGGTGGGGATCTTCCTGGATTGGCAGGCTTTGAGTGGAACAGTGGGTCATGGTGCTGCGCCTGAGGTGGCCTGGGCCATCCTAGGCCTTCACGGGGATGACAGCCTTTGGGGGTGGGGCAGGGGCCTCTGGCCTCTGTGCTGACCTGGGTTTGCTGGTGCACTTGAGGGGCTCGTGAGGTGAACGGGAGTGGGGTACCTGTGCATGGCTCCCGCGCACCCGCCCTGCAGGTGAAGGTGTGGAACACCCTCAGTGGCTTCTGCTTCGTCACTTTCACGGAACACTCAAGTGGCGTTACAGGTGTGACGTTCACGGCCACCGGCCACGTCATTGTGACCTCGTCCATGGATGGCACGGTGCGGGCCTTTGACCTGCACAGGTGAGGCCCTCCCTCTCCGGGCGGGCTGCCTGTGGTGTGCGGGGCTGGGGGCGGTGGGGGGAGGGCTCGGGGAGGGGCGGAAGGTGCAGGGAGCGGGCAGAGACCGCTGACGCTGGACTTGTCCTGGCAGGTACCGGAACTTCCGCACCTTCACGTCTCCACGCCCCACCCAGTTCTCCTGCGTGGCAGTGGACTGCAGTGGGGAGATCGTGTCTGCAGGCGCCCAGGACTCTTTTGAGGTCTTTGTGTGGTCCATGCAGACCGGCAGGCTCCTCGATGTAAGAGATGTGTTCTCAGGGTGCTGGGGGACAGTGGGCCTGGGGAGAGGCCGGCCCCGCTCTGGGCTGTGCAGGGCTGAAGCACTGGCTGGGATTCTGGGGTTCCCTCTGCCAGCCTGGGGGCGGATGAGGAGAGGGGTTGGCCTGTCTCCCCGCACGTCCCTCACCACCTGTCCTACATAGGGCCTCTTCCGTTCTCCGCCGCTATAGGTTTTGTCTGGCCACGAGGGTCCCATCAGTGGTCTGTGCTTTAACCCGATGAGGTCCATCCTGGCCAGTGCCTCCTGGGACAAGACAGTCCGCCTGTGGGACATGTTTGATAGCTGGAGAACCAAGGAAACACTCACTCTGTCCTCCGATGGTAGCCCTAGCCCAAGCCTGGGTGGGGACGGGGAGGCCGAGGGTGGGGTCTCTTCCCTGTCCAGCCTTGGCCTTCCTTCCCCTCCTGTCTCCCTCCTCCTTGCTCCTGGTGGCTGTTTGACACCAGCCAGTGCAGGGCAAATCTATGCCAAGCTTCCTTCCCTGTTGGGTCAGTCTGAGAGCCCTGGAGCCTGGGTGAAGCTCCCGTCTGCTGCCGCTTCAGGCTGCTTTCCAGAGCTGCCCTGGAGAGGGACCACTGTCCCCAGGAGGTGGCCCGTGCTCTGCCTGGGCTGTGACCTGTGAGAAGGAGAGAAGGTGGAGGCTTGCTCTGCTAACCACCGCGGTGGCCCGGGGGCAGCCGCCGCCTACGCCGCCACCTTGCCTCCCGTCCCATCCCTCCGCGTGCTCCCTGCAGAGGAACCTGGCTCTCACCCACGTGTCTGCCTCTCTGCTAGCAGGTCTCCCCCTTGGCGGAGCCTGGAGCCTGACCTGGCCCTTGTCTGACCACACCGTGTGCCCCATGCCTCGTTCAGCACGGTGGCTGGTGGCCCTCATGCATCCACCACTGTGGGGTGTGGCAGGGCCTTGGCCTCCGGGGCTGGTGCTTTTGTCTGGGGGTTCCCGTGTCCCGGGTGGACTCTTCCCAGAGCTTGCATTGGTTTTCCTCCAGCCCTGGCGGTGACGTTTCGGCCCGACGGTGAGGAGCTAGCTGTGGCCACCCTCAACTCCCAGATCACCTTCTGGGACCCCGAGAACGCCATGCAGACGGGCTCCATCGAGGGCAGGCATGACCTCAAGACTGGCAGGAAGGAGCTGGACAAGATCACAGCCAAACACTCAGCCAAGGGCAAGTGAGTGCCAGGGCACCGTGCTGGATGGGGCACAGATGGACGGTACACGCGCTCCTTCTCTGACTACTCTGGGCCTCTTGGGGCCAGGTTCACACAGTCTTGTCCTGGGGTACAGTTCCTGTTCCTGAGGCAGGCCAGCCCCTGCGGAGAGGCCGCGCCTGAAGTCCCTGTCACCTGAATAATGTGCACTGTGCCCACACCCACCCGCCGGCCTAGGGTGCCCAGGGAACGCAGAGAGCAGCTCTGCACCCCTGCCCTTCGTGACCGGGAACTCGGCCCTGCAGCCCCTGCCGCCCTCTCCCTGCTCTGGGGCCGTGGGAGGCGGCGCACTGGGCTGCGGGCCTTCCTGCGCCAGCCGACCCCATCTTGCTCTCTGTGCGGGAGCGCCTTTTCAGTTCTAGACCTAAGCACAGTGTGGCGTCTGCCCACTGGAATCCTGCCTTTTCCCCCCAGCCCTGCGGGAGGCGCTGGCTTCTCCGCAGCCTGCAGCCCTGGCCTTTTTGTCTCGAGCTGCCTGTTGGCTGAGTGGAGTCTGTAGCCCCTGTGGACAGTGTTCTGTCTCTTGCCCGTCTTCGAGGCGGGCAGCTCCGTGTGCGGGACGTGGCGTCTGCAGGCGTGTCACTGCAGTGCTCCTCCGTGCGCACTGCAGGTCTTGGTGCTCTCCGACACAAGTGTTAAGTGGCAGTGGCATCTTTTCTCCTGTTGCCCTGTCGCCTGTCTGAGGGTCACTGCCCCGAGTCTGGGCCCCTGGGTTGGCCCAGACCTAGTTCCGGCTATGGGACCTGCAGAGCCCACTCAGGCTGTGGAGGGTTGATGGTGGGGTGCTGCTCGTTGTGTGTGTGTGGTCAGCACCCCACAGTCCTGTGCTGTCCCTGACAGCCTGGCAGGTCCCTCCTCATCGAGGAAGCTCGTCTGTGCACGGGTGGAGGCCCCAGATCTAGCACAGGGAGGCCTCAACGCCCGCCCGTGAGGGAGGTTCGCCTCCTCCCGTTTGGCTTTTCAAGGGCAGGCATGTCGGTCCCTCGGTCTGGCTGAGGGCCCGTGTCCTCTGCCCAGGGCCTTCACCACGCTGTGCTACTCTGCGGACGGCCAGAACATCCTCGCAGGAGGCATGTCCAAGTTTGTGTGCCTTTACCATGTCCGGGAGCAGATCCTGGTGAAGCGGTTTGAACTCTCCTGTAACTTCTCCCTGGACGCTATGGAGGTGAGTGGCGGTGCCGGGCCTCCAGGTGGGCGTGGAGGCTCCCTAGGCCCTCAGAGGTTGTTGTCCACGCATGAGCTGTGGATGCACCCACGGCTCTGGGGGTGGGAGGCACTGGCAGGCCTGCCCAGGCACAGCGCTACGTCTATCCAGCCCCAGTGTAGGAAGTCTGCTGTCCTGTGGGTGGCCACCCTTCCTGCTCACCACAGCCCTTGTCCCAGGCCCCTCACACCTGTGCCCTGCAGAAATACTGGGTGAGGGGACATGAGTGTCATAGACACTGTTCAGGAAAGCATTGAGTCCACTCGGGCTTTACTGCATAGCATGCACATGGCAGGAGCCCCCACGCTCCGCTTTCTGGAGGAAAATGGAGTTTTCCCGAGGAGCAGCTGCCCTCACGGGAGGGTAGACGGTCTGAGGTGGTGAGGTCCTCGTCCCTGGGTCCTGGGTGGTGGCTGAGTGCAGGCAGGTCCTGGGCTCCGCGCCCTGGCCCTGTGAGCAGCAGGCATGGGTGGGGCCCGCCAGTCATGGGTGCAGCTGCGGGCGATCTGTGCGTAAGGAGAGGTGAGGTGCCATTGCTTCTGCTGTTCCAGGAATTTCTGAATCGGAGAAAGATGACCGAGTTTGGCAACCTGGCACTGATTGACCAAGATGCGGGGGAAGAAAACGGGGTTGCAATTCCATTGCCAGGAGTCAAGAAAGGTGAGCAGAGATCCCGCTGTCCCTCCTGGTGGCAGCTACGTTCCTTGTCTGGCACTCAGCATCACAGCGTTTGGCAGGAAGATGGGGGGGGGGGGGGGTGGCGGTCCGAGTTTCAGGCCTCCTTAAGTGGGAGAGGCCGCCTGTCAGCTGGCTCCAGGGATGCAGGGCCACTGCTGCAGGGGCACAGGGAGGATTCGAGGACCTGGGTCTGGCAAGTGTTCTGGGAGACTCAGGCCACCTGGGTACTAGGTAGACCATCCCGACACATGTCCACCACCAAGATGCCAGAACCTGTCTGTGGGCCCCACTCCAGGCCCTGCCCTGGGCTGGTGGGAGCCTCCTGCACCAGAAGAACTGTGTACAGGCTTGGGAGCCTAGTCCACTGGAGCACAGCCTCATGGAGGCCAGCAGCGCATGGCCAGCCTCGGCGCAGGAGCTAAAGGCTGCTTCCTGCTGGACTTGGTCTAGGCCCAGCAGCCAGGGGCAGAGGCTGCTGTTCCTGGTGTGTCCCCATTGCAGGCCCCAGCCACAGGGGGCTGAAGGCTGGCCTCTGATTGTCAGGTGGGCAGCAAGAACCTGCAGCCCAGTAACTGCACTCCATTTTTTCCAGGTGACATGAGTTCTCGCCACTTCAAGCCTGAAATCAGGGTGACTTCACTGAGCTTCTCTCCCACTGGTGAGCTGTGACTTGTTGATCCTGATGTATGCAGGCACTTTTTCTCATGGTGAGGTCAGTCTCGGGGGTCTGGTGACTCTGCCCCGTGAGCAGGATTGTGACACCCCACTGGCCACATGGTCTCCCCTGTCGCCAGGGGCAGACATCTGTGGAGTGCATACCTGCAAGGCTTGGCTGGAGCCCTGCCCGACCCTTGGACAACTCCATAGGCGCCCTTCCGTCCTGGGAGACAGCTTCTGCTGTCCAGAGACCCTTTCCCCCCAGGGCTCTAAGCTCTCGGGCTTCTGCTTGGATCTAGAGGCCGACAAGGCCTGTTAGGGACACACATCCTCCCTCCACACAGCAGGATTTGTGTGGGGCTCAAGCCAACATGTTGCCAGCGCAGATGCTGGGAGTGCGGTGGATGGGCTAGCTCCTGGGTTGTGCAGCTGGGGCCCCTGCGGGCCAGCAGCCTGCAGGCCAGCAGAAGGCCAAGTCTCGGGGTCACGTTGGTTCATTCTCCAGGGCACAGTGGCAGCCTGGACAGCTGCAGGAGGGCCCTGTGCCCTCCTGGGTGGCTTCTGGCATGGGCAGTGGAGCTGGCTCAGGCAGGTGGCTCATGAGAGCACGTGTTGCCTCCCTCCAGAGGGCGGTGGGAAGCACCGGGCCGTTCCAGCTCCCTCGGGAGAGCAGGCCATTTTCAGCTGTCAGAAGCCCCTTCCCTGCTCTCCCCACAGGGCGCTGCTGGGCAGCCACCAGCACGGAGGGGCTCCTCATCTTCTCCCTGGACACCCAGATGCTCTTTGACCCCTTTGAGCTGGATGCCAGCGTCACCCCTGGGCGCACTCGAGAGGCCCTGCGACAGCAGGACTTCACCCGGGCCATCCTCATGGCCTTCCGGCTCAATGAGCGGAAGCTGATGCAGGAGACCCTGGAGGCCGTTCCCCCAGACGAGAGTGAGCGGGGCTGGGGGCTGCTGGGGCCACCCTCTGTCCTCCCGATTCAGTTCCGTGTGAAGTCAGCGTGGCTTCTCTTCACAGTCACCGTGATCAGCGCGTCTCTTCCCGAGCCGTATGTGGACAAAGTGCTCGAGTTTTTAGCTGCTTCCTTTGAAGAGTCCCGTCACCTTGAATTCTACCTTCTGTGGACGCAAAGTTTGCTCATGTCGCACGGACAGAGGCTCAAGTCCAGGTAGGATGGGCTTGTTCCTGTTCCCACTGTTTGTCTCTTGGCCAGCTGGTTGTGGTGGCAAATGCCAAGTGAGTGTCCCTGTCCCTCCTGCACCTGGTCTGTCTTCCTTTGCAGGGCAGGGCAGGTGCTGCCCACCATCCAGTTTCTTCAGAAGGGCCTGCAGCGGCACCTGGAGGACATGGCTAAACTGTACGTGTGCGGGAAGCGGGGCTGGGAGGGCGGTGGAAGGTGGGCATCGTAGTGTCCTTGCCAGGATTGCTCCTGCATCATCTGATCAGGGAAGATGGTCCTGGGGTTGGAGGTGCATGTTCTCCACCTGCTGGGGTAAACTGAGGCCCACGTTGGTGTGGCTAGAGGAAGGAGGGTACAGTGAATACTTGCTGAGTTGGAGGAGCTGGCCCTCATCTGTCTGGATTTGCCTGTCACCTATGCGGGCCACGCACTGGTCATAGCCTTGGGGCCGTGCAGCGGGGACTCCTGGGATGTGACCGCTTCTACTTGCACACCGCTTTCCCAGCAAGAGATGGGGGCATGCAGGTGAAAGGAGCAACGTAGGGCTCCCAGCCGGCCCGCCAAGGAGCCGGCCCGTCAGAGGTCATTTCCTGGTGTCTGCACCTCTGCCCCCACACCCCTTTTGCAGAGCCTGGACTATAAAAATCCCAACGAGGGACTTGTCACTGTGCAGCCAGGTGTCGCAGCTGGGCTTGCTTACACAAGGTCTCCTTTGTCCAGTTATCCAGTGTCTCTGGCCCCTGTGGTCCCATGGGCCTCCGTCTTAATGGGTCTCAGCTCTGGAGCGAGCCCTTCTCCCCCTGCCTTTCTCCCTAATGGCCTCATGGGAAGTGCTGCTGTGTGGTGGTCTGGAGAGGCCCCCAGGCGCCTGGCCTCCTCGCTGACGGGTCCGTCCCCACCACTTTGTGGTTCTCCCGGGACCCTGCCCCGCACAGGCTGCGCAGCTCTAAGCAGACGTGGAGTCCTGTGTAAACAGCCGTGTCCCCACAAGTGCTAACTGTGTCCCTGCTCCTGCTTCCTTGCCAGTAGTGCTGTGGGGGTGATGGGGTGATGTCATGGTTCCATGACTGGAGAAGGAGCCGATCAGGGTGCGGCTCTGCTCCTGAGTGACCTGGAGGGGCCGGCTGGGGAGGGGGGCAGGTGCTGTTCAGGCAGCTGAGACAAACCAGAGGCGGAGCACAGGGACGGGGGTGTGGACACAGGTTCACCCGGTCCCTGCGGTGGGTGCTGATCATATTGTGGGGAGCTCATGCTGACCTGGTGCCCACCCACAGCTGTGACTGGAACCGCTACAATATCCAGTACGCTCTGGCGGTTTCCAAGCAGCGGGGCCTAAAACGGGCCCTGGAGTCTCCAGGAACAGAAGAGGATGAAGAGTGGGATGAGGAGAGTCTACACCTGCTTGGAGAAGCTGGAGAGGATGAAGAGGCCGCCGTGTCTTAGATGGAGCCTCCAGATGGTGGCCACAAAACCTGCCAGACTACGGGTCGCGCTGCCTGGGTCCTGAGCCGCCCTGCTGGGATGAGACTCACCTTTGCTGGAGCCGCAGGGCCGGCAGCCGGGAGCCGGCCAGTGGGAGCCAGGACGGGCACAGGTCAGCGGGCCCAGCACGCTGCTGCTGAGTGTGGATAACGGAACTTTGCCTCTCCTAAGGGGAGAGGTTTGTGGACTCACATTGTTTTGTCTGAGAGTAATTTATGTTTTTAATGTATAGAGTTTTAAAGAAAACCCTTTCTAAACGCTTGAGATTTACTGTCTTTACGGTTCATTCAGGGCGGAGGAGCTGCCCGCGCTGACCCCTGGCTTAGGGCCCAGCGGCCGCGGCTGTCCTCCGGCGTGGTCTGCGAGCACAGCGTGTGCACGGCTGTGCGGCCCACGGGTCACCAGGCGGCGCCGGCCTGGCCGTGCCCGCGGACCCGCAGCTGGCCTGCCTTCCGGGCTGAGGGTGGCTGGGCGGCCGGTCCGCAGCGACTTCTGCACACAAACCAAGGCCAGGGCCGCTGCTCGGGGCGGCGTGCGCGGAGGGGACGGCAGGACCCGGGCGCGCGCATGCGTGTGGTTACTTGGGGTGTACACGAACCTTCTGACGGCCCCGCGCCCGAGGGCCGTGACCGTGGCCTGCCGCAGGGAAACCGGGGAAGCGGGTGGGGACCTTGCGGACGGACGACGGGAGGGGGCGTGCCTCTGTGGCCCCGCCCCGCGCATGCGCAGCTCCGCTCTTCGTTGGGGGCGGGCCCTTGCGTCCCGGCGCGGTGCGCGGCGCGTGCGCAGTCCGCACACCTGCGCGCAGCCCGCGGACGGCCTGGGGTCTCCCTGCTTCGGCGCCCGTTTCTTCCGCTCGCGACCCGCCGACCGCGCCGCCATGGCGGCCATCAGGGCCCTGGCGTTGGCCTCCCCGCTCAGGCCGCTCGCGGGACTGCGGTGGCCCCCTCCCTGCGGGCGGGCGGCCCTGCACGGCTCGGCGCCGCGGCCCGCGGCCAGGGTGGCGCTGGTGAGTGTCCATGCCGGGCCCCGGCCTGCCCTGCCCCTGCCCGGGCCCTGCCCTTGCCCCTGCCCCTGCCCCTGCCCGGCCTGCCCTGCCCCTGCCCCTGCCTGCCCCTGCCCCTGCCCCTGCCCGGCCTGCCCTGCCCCTGCCCCTGCCTGCCCTGCCCTGCCCCTGCCCGGCCTGCCCTGCCCCTGCCCCTGCCCGGGCCCTGCCTGCCCCTGCCCGGCCTGCCCTGCCCCTGCCCCTGCCCGGGCCCTGCCTGCCCCTGCCCGGCCTGCCCTGCCCCTGCCCCTGCCCGGGCCCTGCCTGCCCTGCCCGGCCCCTGCCCCTGCTCAGCCTGCCTGCCCTGCCCCTGCCCCTGCCTGCTCTGCCCCTGCCCGGCCCCTGCCTGCTCTGCCCCTGCCCGGGCCCTGCCCCTGCCCCTGCCCCTGCCTCTGCCCCTGCCCCAGCCCCTGCCCCAGCCCCTGCCCGGCCCCGGCCCCTGCCCCTGCCCCTGCCCCTGCCCCGCCTGCCCTGCCCCTGCCCTTGCCCCTGCCCGGCCTGCCCTGCCCCTGCCCTTGCCCCTGCCCGGCCTGCCCTGCTCCTGCCCCTGCCCCTGCCCGGCCTGCCCTGCCCCTGCCCTTGCCCCTGCCCGGCCTGCCCTGCCCCTGCCCCTGCCCCTGCCCGGGCCCTGCCTGCCCTGCCCCTGCCTGCCCTGCCCTGCCCCTGCCCGGGCCCTGCCTGCCCTGCCCCTGCCTGCCCTGCCCTGCCCCTGCCCGGGCCCTGCCTGCCCTGCCCTGCCCCTGCCCGGGCCCTGCCTGCCCTGCCCGGCCCCTGCCCCTGCTCAGCCTGCCTGCCCTGCCCCTGCCCCTGCCTGCTCTGCCCCTGCCCGGCCCCTGCCTGCTCTGCCCCTGCCCGGGCCCTGCCCCTGCCCCTGCCCCTGCCTCTGCCCCTGCCCCAGCCCCTGCCCCTGCCCGGCCCCGGCCCCTGCCCCTGCCCCTGCCCCTGCCCCTGCCCCGCCTGCCTGGCCTGCCCCTGCCCCACCTACCCTGCCTCTGCCCTGCCTGCCTGGCCTGCCCCTGCCCTGCCTGCCCTGCCCCTGCCCGGCCTGCCCCTGCCCTGCCTACCCTGCCCCTGCCCAGCCCACCACCTGGAGGTCCCCAGCCTGGCCAGCCCAAGGTCAGCCAGCCTCTTCCCATGGGACACCCCCCTGCCCCCTGCGTGGCTGCCCAGCCCCTCCCACCCCTGCCCCTGGTCAGTGCCCTGCTCCCTCTTTTTTTTCATGTTCTTTAAATCACTTTTACTTTTTTTGTGTGTGAAAATACTGTACAGAGGGGTTACAATTACACGGGCAAGATAATGAGTACATTTTTTATCAAGCATTGTAGCCTCCTCCTTTGTTTCCCCTTCCCATCCCTTCCCATCCTCCCCCCCCCCCCCGTCCCCCCACCCAATCCTCCCCACCCCACCACCAAAGTTGTAAAGTTCGTTTTCAACATAACGACTTGTACATCTCATTGTTGCAATGGGTCCACCTGTTTCCCTATTTCAACGATTTGTTTTTCCCCTTCTCCTCCACAAATTATACCGACATCAAATACAGTGGAAGTATGTCTGAGTCAAGCAGAAAAGGTCAGACAAGGTGATGTTAGGGAAATGAACCCTAAGAAGTGTATTCGTAATTTTTTTTCTTTCATGCGATTGTTTCTAACACATTTATAAGATTATTTCTTTGTTGCTTTGTATGTCCCTCCCCTGCCCCCTCTCTTGACAGGTGCTGTCTGGCTGTGGGGTCTATGACGGGACCGAGATCCACGAGGCCTCTGCGTAAGTCGTCCGTTGGAGACCACACACAGGAGATGTATCTAAGTCGGTGTTTAGAAGGGGACAGTGGGAAACATCAAATTCTCAGGTCGTGCTTGGAGGCTTCTGGCACAGGTTCCACTTGGAAGCCGCTTCCTTCTGGTTGCTTCTCTGCATGGGAGGCCACCTTTGTGTACTAAGCAGTTGGTTCTGGTTTTCTGTTTTACTGGAGAGCTGAGGTGAGCAGTTATCCACAGGGTGGTACTCCGCCTCCCAACCCAGCACCCCCTTCCACGTGGAGCAGGGTAAACGGGAGCTCCAAGGGCAGGCGCCTGAGCACGCCACAGACACAGCCTCCCAGCAGTGAGCCGCAGGAAACAAGGCCAAGTGTGTTTCCTGACTGGACCTAGGGAGAAGGCCCGTGCGGTAGGTGACAGCGCAGCCTTGGGGTGGGCTGAAGACCCCCAGACACCTGGGTGCCAGGACCAGATCCCACCTATTTTTGTGATCTTGAGCAGGTTACTGACCCTGGTGCCTCAGGTTCCTCCTCTGCGTCCCGGTGGGATGGGTGAGCACATGAGCTGGCCCAGAGGGAGCTCAGGAGCGTCCTGCTGCTGCGGGGGGAACTCCTTTCCTGTCCACTCATCCTGCCCCATGTGTCCACGTCTCTTGGAGGAGACTGGCAACGGGGCTGAGTAGTGACGGGTCTTCAGCACCTCTCCGCTGCACACGTGGTGTTCAGTAAGGTGAGGGCTGGGCCACAGCCTGGAGCGCAGCACCCCCAGGCTGCAAAGGTTTTTATTGGTACCAAGTACACTGCACAGCCTGTCCTGCGGCTCCCTGCTCACCCACCACAGCCTAAGAGGCTGTCAGCCCAGCCATGGGTTCATGAGGTAAACAGGCCCTCAACGCACGCTGGTATTTAGCTGAAGCCCCGTGTGCACAGTGGGCTAGGGCTCAGGCCTGCGGACTCAGCTGCTCGGGCGTGGAGGTCTGGAAGGTCTCGGTGTGGGTGAGCTGGCGCTGTGCTGTCATCTCAGCCGTCTAGGAATCACAAGTAAGGGCACTGTGATGCAGGCTGGCCGGTGTATAAACTCAGAACGCTGGGGTGTGGCACAAACGTAGAGCATCTGTAGCAAACGTGACGCCAAAGTTCAGCTCTCAATGGTGCCGGAAAGGAAAAGGCTGAGCCCCAGGCTTCTGGGTTGGCAGGTGTTGATGTGTTGCTGTTTTCTCCTCTTCAGGATCCTGGTGCACCTGAGCCGTGGAGGAGCTGAGGTCCAGATTTTTGCCCCAGATGTCCCTCAGATGCACGTGATTGACCACACCAAGGGGCAGCCGTCTGAGAGCGAGAGCAGGTGCGGGTGTGGTGGGGCCTCAGAAGGCCTGTCCGCAGGATGCTGCTCCTGTGGTGCAGCCCTTGAGGCCAGCTCTGCGTGCCTGGTGCCCCGGACGCGCGTTCAGTGAGTGTCTCTCAGAGCGGCTGCTCTGGAGACACTCTGGCCCTCGTCACAGTCTTTCTTACCTCTCGGTGCTTAGCACAGGAGTGAAAATGCCCAGCAGGTTGGGAGCCGCTGGTGAAGGTGCTCGTGCCTTAGGTTTGATGTAGCAGGGCGTCTGCCCGTGTCCACCGGTTGGGCATCGCATCCCCCCCCCCCGCCCCCCCCCCCCCCCCCCCCGGTGCCGCAGCACAAGTGGTCCTGGCCGCTGCGCATTGTGCTCCAGGTCTCTACCCTGACGCGTGCCGTGGGCAGGGCCAGGCAGCATCCCAGCTGTTTATTTGCCTCTGCTCTGTGCCACACTTGTAGGGTGGCAGTAGCTCCCGGCTGTAGCTGGCCCTCAAGCGGTAGCTTCCTAGACCCCGTTCTACCTCATGGGATGACTGAGTTGTGCTTGGAGGGGTGTCCGTTTCCCGTTGACCCCTCTGATGGGCAACCTGGAGGACTCTAGTGTGCGTCAGGGCCATAGAATCCTTTGCTTTTCCATCTAGCTGGCAGCCATAAACGTGGCTGGCTACAAGCTGCTTATAGAAAACGTCCCCAGTGTTCCTCCCTTAGCCCTGCGTGTACCTCGCTCCTTACGTAGTATTGGTTTGTTCTGCTCCTAGGAATGTTTTGGCAGAGTCGGCAAGAATTGCCCGAGGCAAGATCACCAACCTGGCCCAGCTCAGCGCCTCCAACCACGATGCTGCCATCTTTCCCGGAGGATTTGGAGCTGCCAAGAACCTGTGAGTGTCTGGAGCTCAGGCTCTGTAGCCTGGGCCGCTGCTGGGGGCGGGCCTTTCTCTGTACTCTCCGAACTCTCCTGGCACTGAGGGGGAGCCGACCTCTTATTAACCTCCATACTGGGGGAGGGGGCGGCCTGAGTGTTCACTGCTTCCCAGCCAGGCAGCTGTGCGTCTTTTCTCTCTTTTGCCATTACTGAAATCCTGGTCTTGGCCTCAGCCTGTCCCTTCCAGAGAGCGCAGGAGCGTCTCTGCCTGAGCATTGAGCAGTTCCTCCTGGGTGTCCTGGGCCTGGAAGTAAAGGGCATGATTTCATTGCCTAAGGTGTGGCCAGCCATCTGCCTACGCCCCGATGGCCCATGCCCCTTTTAACTCCCCCCCAGTCCCCCCCATCCTCTCAGCTGCAGAGCCAGTGGGCCGTCAGTGCCTTTGTGGGCATCGGGCCCAGGCTGCATGTGGCTCTCTTTGTGGGCCTGCTGCGCTTCACTCCTGGCTGGGCTGGGCTGGGCAGTCAGTCAAGTCCGCTTAGCACGTTGCCAGATCGGGTGAAAGGCCCTTTGGAGATTGGCTGGGCTAGCTGAGGCACTGGATGGGGTGTGTGGGGTTCTGGAGGTGGTGTGCGGGGTAAGGTGTGATGTGTCTGAGCTCATGGTGTCTTCTGGGAGTTGAGAGGGAAACTGCCATTCCTGCTGTACGCGACTGTGGGCAAGCGCGACTGTGGGCAAGCGGAGACCGTGGCACCGCCCGGCCCGTGGCACCGCCCGGCCTCACCGCTGTGTGTGCACAGCGGCAGGTGGTGGGCTGGCATACATAGGATGAGGGGAGGCCAGGCTTAGTATGAGGCGACTGTGTGCACGTGAGGTGAGCGTGTGAGGTGGGGCTGAGGCTCGGCATGTGCCTGCACGATGCGTGCACGAACAGGAGGCAGCACAGCGGGCAGTGAGGGCGCCGGGACCCAGCCCTCCACCGCGCAGGCCACTGCGCCGCCTCCCCTCCCTTCCCTGGCGTGTGCGTGCACGCAGCGCTCCACTGGGGGTCCTCAGCCCTGCCCTGGCCCGTGCTGCACGCACGGGCTCCGCGCCCTCCCGTAGCTGCTCGGATGGCACCAGCTGCCTGGGCTGGTGTGTGACGTCGCAGTGCGCTGTCTCAGACCGGCTCTGGTGCGCTTGCTTCTCCTCGGGGCAGTCAGTCCCCACGGCCCGCCCGCCAGCCTTCCGCCCCACGGGTGGGTGGCACCCTTGTGGGGTTTTTGCTGCCCCTGGGCTTTGGGTGTGCTCACAGCCTGCTCTGCGGGGCTGGGCCGGTGTCTTCCCTGCCCTGCCCATCTGCCTGACAAATGGGAAGTTAGATGAGCAGCTTGTCGGGGTGACGCCCGCAACTGTGCTCCCGCACAGGTGTCGCTCATACTGGCGTGTGCTCTAGCTGTGCTTAGCCGTGCTCGGCCGTGTCCGGCGTGTGCTCCAGCCGTGCTCGGCCGTGTCCGGCGTGTGCTCCAGCCGTGCTCGGCCGTGTCCCGCGTGTGCTCCAGCCGTGCTCGGCCGTGTCCGGCGTGTGCTCCAGCCGTGCTCGGCCGTGCCTGGCGTGTGCTCCAGCCGTGCTCGGCCCTGTCCGGCGTGTGCTCCAGCCGTGCTCGGCCGTGTCCGGCGTGTGCTCCAGCCATGCTCGGCCGTGTCCGGCGTGTGCTCCAGCCGTGCTTGGCCGTGTCCGGCGTGTGCTCCAGCCGTGCTCGGCCGTGTCCCGCGTGTGCTCCAGCCGTGCTCAGCCGTGCCTGGCGTGTGCTCCAGCCGTGCTCGGCCGTGCCTGGCGTGTGCTCCAGCCGTGCTCGGCCATGTCCGGCGTGTGCTCCAGCCGTGCCTGGCCCTTGGCTCCATGGGAGCTGCTTAGGGGGTCTCTCTCGTGGTAGGAGCACCTTTGCCGTGGATGGGAAGGACTGCAAGGTGAATAAGGACGTGGAGCGAGTCCTGAAGGAGTTCCACGCTGCCGGGAAGCCCATCGGGTAGGTGGCGGGGCGGGGCCGGGGCACCTCGTGCCGGCTAGCAGTCATTCCACAGTGCAGCTCCGAGGCCTGGCCAGGCAGTCCCGTTAACTGCGGGTGGCTGGACGGGCAGGAAGGCTCCCCAAGTGGAGACTTGCAGAACGTTCACTGAGGCCCCTCCGGGCCTCAGCCTGCACTCTGCCGTCCCTCCCCGTTCACAGCAGCTCCTCACGCTGCAGTGCCCCGGGACACCGTCAGCCTGGTTCCGGGTGTGTGGTGCAGCGTGGGGCCGGCCTTGGCATCGTCCCCCGGGAGGTCAGCGGCTCTGTGGGGAAAGCCTGTTGCCGTGTAACGGCCTTGGTCCTGGTGGCCGCTGCCTAGCTGGGTACAGAGCCCTGCAGCCTTCCTGGTCTCCGTGCAGGGGCCCTGGTACCCCAGTGCCTTAGAGCTGCCCGCAGCGAGGCTGGGCCATGCAGACCTGCGGAGGAGCCCGGGCTGGTGTCACCTTCACCCCCAGTGCCCCGGGACACTCGCACGGCCGGTGCCACAGAACTTGCGCTGCGAGGCGGACGCTGCCGGCGGAGTGCTCACACACATCCCATCCTCAGCCGGCTGCTCTGGGCCGGCCCGGGTCCCTGCCTGTGCTCAGCACGGCTTCGCGCCTTTCCAGCCTGCTCTCGGTCCCCTTGGCCACCTTCACCGGTGCCATGCAGTGCCGCCGGCGGGCGGGGAGCTGTGCCACCGTCCTGCACCTGCCAGTTACGGCATGAGCCGTCTCATGCTCAGTGCCGGCCACCCGTGTGCACCCCATGTCCCCTGACCAGAGGCGGGGACACCACCCCAAGCAGCGGGCCCAGCCCTGTGCCTGCCCCCAGGGCTGCCCGAGGCCTGCACCTGGGTTCCCAGCCCAGAGAGCCAGGGCCACCCGGGGCCACAGCCCGGCCCAGCCCGCAGACCCCCATCTCTCGCCTTTCAGCCTGTGCTGCATCGCGCCTGTGCTTGCGGCCAAGGTGCTCAGAGGCGTGGAGGTCACAGTGGGCCACGAGCAGGAAGAGGGCGGCAAGTGGCCCTACGCCGGGACTGCAGAAGCCATCAAAGCCCTGGGGGCCACGCACTGCGTGAAGGGCGTGAACATATCCTTCCTGCGGCCACCTGCGGCGTGCTGACCTCGCGCTGTCTGTGGCCCCCAGGAACGAGGCTGGCTGGGCTCGGGGGGGGGGGGGGGGGTGGATGCCGCACTAGGCCACCCAGCGGCTGCTGCCACTGTGGGGCAGTACCCAGGAGCTGCTGGCCGGTGACCACAGGGGTCCCGGCAGCTCTGGGGGGCTGGCAGGGCTCCATTCCCAGGGCTGTGCTGGCCTGACCCCTGGAACTTGGAGCTTTTTTCATCTTAAAAGCAGTGAGTTAGTCGGGCGCCAGTGGCTCACGCCTGTCATCCTAGCTACTCAGGAGGCTGAGATCTGAGGATCGTGGTTCAAAGCCAGCCCTGGCAGGGAAGCCCGAAAACCAGAATTAGAGCTGTGGCTCAAGTGGTAGAGCGCTCGCCTTGAGCTGAAGAGCTGAGGGACAGCGCCCAAGCCTAGAGTTCAAGCCCCACGACCGACAAAAAAAAAAAAGTGAGTTAGAAACTAGTGCCCTCTTTGGTGACTTTGCAGGGCTGGGGTAGAACCCAGGGCCTGGTACTCGCTGGGCAAGTGCTACGCCTGAGCCTCCCCGCCCTTTGCTCTCAGTAGTAGAGCGGGCCGCGGTCTCCGCCGTGGGCGGTGGTCCCCTCCCCCCATGGGTGGCTTGCTCCCTCCGTGGGCCTGGCCGGGTGCTGCTTTCCCTAACTTCCGTGCACGAAGCCCATGTGGACCTGAAGAACAAAGTGGTCACTACCCCGGCCTTCATGTGTGAGACCGCGCTTCACCACATCCATGATGGGATTGGGGCCATGGTGAAGAAGGTGCTGGAACTCACCGGGAAGTGACGGCGCTGGTGGCGGCGTGTGCCTCCTGGCCCAGGCTGCCCGGGGCAGGGGCTGCCGCCGTGCCTGCTGGAGGCCCCGCACGCTGGGCTCAGCTCAGCCTCGGGCTGGAGGAAGTGGGGCTTGCGCCGGCCCCTGAGCCGCTGCTCAGCTTCTCTAGAGAACCGGGAGATGCCCCGCGCCAGCCAGCTTTGGACTTTCGGGATGCTTAATGTTTGAAGAAAGAAAACGTTGGAGGTTTCAAATCTTAATTATAGATCCAGAATAATTCGTCTGGGTTTTTAAGATGTCTACCTAAAGCAGGGGGCTTCTAAACCGCCGAGAGCTCCCTCTCCACTGAAACGTGAGGGCGCCATTCAAGCCTGAGCCCAGGGAGCGGGGCGGTGGCCAGGCCTCTGCTCCGCTCCGCTCCGCGTTTCCAGCGGGGGCCGGGCCTAGCCGAGTCTGGGCCTGGGACCATGCGACACACGGAAGATTAAAGAAGGCCGTGTGTGATTGCAAGCCTGCCGGACTGAGTGTCTGCACCCCTGCCCCATTCTGGAGCGTTCTTCCCCTTCTGGTCTGCACAGGTAGAGGTGGGAGCCCTGGCTCCCGGCAGTGTTGCAGGGATTTGGGCCATGTGGTCTGTGTAGGTGCTGTGAAGCCGGGTTTAGGGCCTGGTGGAGGGCAGCGGGGCCGTGCGTGCCCCTTGGCCCCACCGCAGCAGCCCCCCAGTCCTGATGGGGCCTGCTCCTCACGGCAGGGAGCCAGTCCTGCCACCCCCTCGGGCCCCTGCTTTGGGGACCTGTCTGTCACGCCGGCCGTGGCCAGCAGCCTCAGCAGACACGGCTGCACATTCTGTGTGTGACCTGGGCAGACACTTCAGTGAGTCACAGGAAACCCTCGTCCAGCCACACCTGGGAGCCACAGCGTTGGCCCCTGCACCCCTGGACCTCCTGCCTTGTCGGTGGCAGCAGGGCTCCTCCCTGTTCCCACCCTGCCGTCCCTGAGCCACCTGCACATGGTGTCAATGCCAGACTTCCCCTGAGAGCCCCCTCCCCCCCCCGTGTGATCACACCCCCTTGGTGTGAATGCTCCCGGGTGTTCCCTGGCTGTGCCAGGCAGGCTGGTGCGAGTCCTGCTCCAGCTCCAGTCTCTTGGCCTCCTTGCCTGGGGAGCTGTCAGAGTAGCTTTCCAAGGGTTAGGAAAATCAAGAGAGAAAAGGGAAGAAAGCCCTCAGCAGAGCAGCTCAGGGTTTGCCCATCACTGCAGCGGGGCTCCAAGTGGCACTGCACAAGCAGAGAGACAAGGGGTGAGGAACGCGGGCTTTTTGTAGGCTTAAGAGTCAAGCCAAAGTCAGGCGCTGGTGGCTCACGCCTGTAATCCTAGCTCCTCGGGAGGCTGAGGTCTGAGGATCGCGGTTCAAAGCCAGCCAGGGCAGGAAAGCCCGTGAGACTCTTATCCCCAATAAACTGCACAAAAAAAAGCTGAAAGTGGCGCTGTGGCTCGAAACGGTAGAGCGCTCGCCTTGAGCAGAAGAGCTCAGGGACAGCGCCCAGGCCGAGTTCAAGCCCCAGGACCACCAACAACAAAAGTGTGTGTGGTTAAGAGTTTGGGGTGTGTACTGTCTCTGCAATTGTGGAAGGCCCCTGTTGGGGTTGTGACATCTTTGCAGTGGTAGCTGCAGATCCTGTACTTTGAGATAAGGCAGGGGTGAGGTTTTTCTGGGAATAGCTCTGGGGCAGGGCTTCTGGTAAGATTCTCAGAGGAGCCTGCCCAGAGGTGTGGGAGTGGGGAGGGGGGTGAGGACCTGAGGGCCACAGGAGCAACTTCAGTCCCAGCACCAAGGTGCGGCTTTGCCAGAGTGCCGTCCCTTGCTTCCGCTAGCCAGACACGCAGCCTGCTGTGTCCCCATCAGCACTGCGTCTGGCCGTGCCAACGGTGTGCCACCGTGTCCCCTGAGGTCTGGGCTGCCGTTGGCACTCAGGCGGCTCGAGTTCTGGGTCGTTGGAAGGCCCAGGGAGGGCCTGGGCCTCATGCCCAGCACCGCCCAGCACGGGAGCCTGTCGGGCAGCAGGACACGGGGCAGCACAGGGCCTGCGCACAACGTCCAGGGAGGAGATAGAAGCCCAGATGGCCTGGCGTGGCACAACCACCACAAGCAGGGACAAGGCCGGGACAGAACGGACCGTGGGATTGAGGTGGGCACCTTCAGGTCCCTCTTAGGAGTAGGGTGCCGCGCTGTGCAGGGAGTGAGGAATCCGTGTGCTTGGTCACAGGCGCCACTCATGGGATACTTAATATCCTTGAAGTCACAAGCACCAACATGTGATCCCCGCTATTCAGTACCCTTGAAGCCATAGGTGTGGATCGCGTGGTACAATCATTCCCGTGATAAATGACTTCCTTACGTAGGAAGTGGAGGTGAGCAGTAGACAGACTTAGAATCTGCATGGGCAGATTGTCAGAGAGTTTGGGTGGAACTAGCCCACAGGATAGAAATAATTCCTCTCCAGGCAGGACTGCTTGACCATGCCACGAAACTGTTTTGAGAGTTTGTGTTGGGAGAAGCCTGCCAAACTCCCAATCCTTTTGGGTTCACAGCTCAGATTTTGGGGCTCACACTAGAGCCAGCCAGGGTGCTGATGGGCAGCCCCAGATCCTTGGGACAGCAGGCTGGTGTCCGGGAGACTCCATGGTTCCAGGGCAGGGCTGTAGGCTTAAGACACTGCCACCAGGGGGCACGGTAGACCTATCTTCGATGCTTGCAGGCCCTGGGTCTGGCCTGATGGGCTGCTGTCTGTGTGTGCCAGCCCCATCTAACCGGGCTCGTGGGCAACTTCAGAAGCCCGCCTGGGCCCGCCTGGCCTGCACCTCTGCCCTCACCCAGGTCGCTGGGCTCCAGGCTGAGTCCACCCCGCGGTACCTCCCCCTGCACCTAGCCCAGGCCCCTCTGCGGCCACTGCCCTCAAGCCATCTCCTGTGCCTCTTCCCTCTCTCTTCCTGGCATCTAGTGAGTCTCCACTTCCTACCTTTCTTGATGACCCTCTGCCCACCAGATTCACACATGAACGGGGGAGTCACACACGTACCTTTTTGTCTCCATCCTGTGACGCTGGCACACTGATCCTGCAGGCCTGCGCCCTCCCCGGCCCTCTGCTCCTGCCAACACCCCAGCCCCGTGTCCCTGGCCATGCCAGGCTCTGCAGGGGGCCTCTCCTGCACCTCCTACGTGCTCAGGGCCAGCCCTTCTGGCCAGGCAGTGCCCTTGGTGCTACCCGCCCAGAGCCCTGGCATGGATGCACGCGGCAGTGCAGGTTGCCCGAGATGCTCTCACCACCACCCCCAGCTCTGAGAACTGAGTTGCTGAGCCACCATTTGTTTTGCACGCTGCGGTCCCCAACCCGGCGTGGTCCTGAGGGTGGTGGGCTCGTGGCCTATGCTGGCACCAGGTGCCAGAAGCCCGTGGCCAGCAGGCGCACAGGGAGGCCTGCCTGATGCCACCGTTGGCGCAGCCTGCTCCTTGTCTGCGTGACTTCCCAGCATAGCTGTTTTGCCACTGAAAAACAGACTTTATGGGGCACTTTGGGGATCGCAGGAGAGGTGGGATTGGGGACAGGGGGGCCACGGCCTTCCCCACTGCGGCCTATGAACCGTACTGGCTGCGTGGGCTCCGGGCTCACTGGACCTGGGGACGTGGCTGTGCCGAGACCTGGCTTGGCGACAAGCCCTGCTGCAGAACTGTGTCCTCTGCTCACCCCTGCCCCGCCCCCCGGCCTCCCCCACTCACCCCTGTCCCACCTCCCACCCCCCTCCTGCCTCCCCCTGCTCACCTCTGACCTCCACCTGCCCCGCCCCTCCCCCATCCACCTGCTCACCTCTGACCTCCACCTGCTTGCCCCCCCGCCTCCCCTGCTCACCCCTGTCCCCCACCCCACCCCTGCCTCCCCCTGCTCACCTCTGACCTCCACCTGCCCCGCCCCTCCCCCACCCACCTGCTCACCTCTGACCTCCACCTGCCCCGCCCCTCCCCCACCCACCTGCTCACCTCTGACCTCCACCTGCTTGCCCCCCCGCCTCCCCTGCTCACCCCTGTCCCCCACCCCACCCCTCCCTCCCCCTGCTCACCTCTGACCTCCACCTGCCCCGCCCCTCCCCCACCCACCTGCTCACCTCTGACCTCCACCTGCTCCCCCACCCCCGCCTCCCCTATTGACCCCTGTCCCACCCCCACCCTCCCCCTGCTCACCTCTGACCTCCACCTGCTCCCCCACCCCCGCCTCCCCTATTCACCCCTGTCCCACCCCCACCCTCCCCCTGCCTCCCCCTGCTCACCCCTGACCACCTGCTCGTCCCTGGCCTCCTCTGACCTCTGCCTGCACACACACCCCCCCCCGCATAGCGTTTCTTTTCCAGAATGTCATGAAGTGTGTAGTCCATCCTGTTTTCTTCACTGTGCACATCTGGGGCTCTTCGTGTGCATTCTTGGCTGGCGAGTGGATCCCGTGGTGTGAATGCACCCCACTGAGCCACTCATCCACTGAAGGACACACAGGCTGCTTCGGGGGCTGGGAACTGGTGAACAGGCTGCCGTGTGCACGTGTGTGTGCACCTGGGTGTGCAGGATCTCCACTGGTCGGGGGTTCTCACCTCCTTTGTCTCATACGGGCATGCAGTGTTCTGCACTATGGCCGCCCTGATAGGTGTCAGGCACCATTGTTACCTGTGTGCCCTTCCCTGGCATGGCCTCGTTTCTTTCCCAGTGTTTATTTGCTTCTGTGTGTCTCTCTAGGGTGTCTGGTTGAGATTGCTTTGCCTGTTTTAATTAGTGTTTGCTTTTCTGTTGCTGTTGTGTTTTGAATTCACTGTGTAGTTTGGAGAGCAGTGCTTTGTCAGGTGCTGAGTTCTGAGTTCCCTGGGCAGTCCTTTGTCAGCTGCTTGTTTTGTCTGAGTCTGCTGTGTTTGGACAGCAGTGCTTTGCAGGTGCTGTGTTCAGAGTCCTCTGTGTGTTTGGAGAGCAGTGCTTTGCAGGTGCTGAGTGCTGAGTTCCTGGGGCAGGCTTTATCAGCGCATTGTGGCCTAACATCCCTCTTTTCCCAGCGTGGCTGCGCAGAGCAAGGTTGTTCCTTTGAATGCCGCCCTGCTGAGCCGATTTCTTCTGCCTGTGGTGCTTGAGTGACTGCTCCAGACAGCCACCACCAAGCCCGAGTCACTGGGCTTTCTCCTGGTCTTTTCTGGGAGTTTTAGGTGTAAGTTGAATTAACCTTGGGCCGTATAAAGATCAGCGCCTA